GAGGATTTGGGGTTTGGGGGGTTGATGGCAGTCTAGGGGGTTTTGGGACTTAGGGTTGAAGGTTTGGGGGTCCGTGTAGTTGGCTGTTTCCACAAGGCTTGATGCGCCGGGCTCAGGGGTGATTTTGGAAGGCCTTGTCGCAGCAGTCTTCAAAGCCGTGAACCCCGGAACCTGAAAGCACCAGGAAAGACCTCACGACGACCCTGAGACCAACCCCAACCCCCCCAGCCATTTAATCCCTAAACCCTGAAAGCCCTAATCTCGAAAAGCCTAAACCCTAAAACCTCAAACCTTAAACCTCAAACCCTAAACCCTAAGCCCTAAACCCTAAACTCATTGCCCAGTAAAGCCATGAACCTTTGGCCAGGCACCGCGCCCTAGACCATAGACCCTGGATGCCAGGCGCCGTCCCAGATCCAGAAGTTCTCCAGCGAATCGCCAAGGGCATCGTGCGGAAGAGGTGCCTTTGGGGTTTAGGCTGAGGGGTATTGGTATTGTTCTAAGTTGTCTTCTTCTTTGAAGGCTTCGCTTTAGGGGGCTTGAAAGGCTACTTCCACTTATCAGTGCTTCTTTTTGAACTTAGGACCCCAAAGCTGTCGGCGAAGGATGCTTACAAGGGGACCGGAGTTGAAAGGTTGGATCTTCAGACTGTGGCTGTCCGCTTGACGGACGCAGACTGTTCGCAGGGAGATGGTAGGGGATGTGTGGGAAGGTTGCATACATCCCCTAAACCCTAAAATCCTAAACCCTCAACCCTAAACCCTAAACCCTAAACCTAAACCCTAAACCCTAAACCCTAAACCCTAAACCATGATAGGTGCTTCTTCAAGCAAGCGTATTGAGACTTCGCCCCAACAGAGGTGGATCCGGGCAATCCACGCGGTGCAGCTGTGCCTCTACCTGCCGAAGCGCCTTGCCATGTAAGGAAGCCGGACAGAGGGTTGAGAGCTTAGGGTTTAGGGTTTAGGGGTAGGGTTTAGGGTTTAGGGTTTAGGGTTTAGGGTTTAGGGTTTAGGGTTTAGGGTTTAGGGTTTAGGGTTTAGGGTTTAGGGTTTAGGGTTTAGGGTTGAGGGTTCAGGGCGTTGAGGGCCAGGCGAAGCACTTCTATTGCAGGCCTCTCTGGTCCCCTCAACCCTGAACCCTAGAATCCCCTATAATCACCTCCCCTAATATGAACACCCCTTTCCCCTGTTATTGAATACCCCCTATATACTATAGTACACCTATAATCGGAGTTTCATGGGGAGGGGGGGGGGTTATTAGGGGGAGGGGATGAAGCAGGCAATAGCTAAAGTTCAGGGTTGCCGATCTCCTGGGATTTCTTTGGTGAACGACCAGGGTGCGGGTGTTGCAAGAACGGGCGTGCTTCCCTTTTTCTGCTTACAACTGCGGGCACCGCAGGCAATTCTTCCGAACAACCCAAATCCCTCAACCACTAAAAGCCCCTAAATCCGGCATAAACCCCTCCACCTCTAGAAACTCCAATCCCAAATAAAACCCTTGAACCCCTAAACGCCACCTAAATATCGAAAATAGACCCTCAACCCCAGAAGCCCCCCAAATCCCATACCTGAACCCCAACCCTAAACTCTAAACCCTAAACCCTAAACCCTAAACCCTAAACCCTGAACCCTAAACCCTAAACCCTAAACCCTCATGATTCCCTCGGAGCCCGGCTCGCAACCGAAGGCTGCTCGAAGAGATCCGCGCTGTTCGGGCCTCTGCAGCGCCACTGCAGCCGCAGATAGAGCTGTGGGTGGGATGGGGGAGGGGGGCGTTTCCGAAAGCCCTAAACCCTAAACCCTAAACCCTAAACCCTAAACCCTAAACTGTAGACCCTAAACTCTACGCCCTAAACCCTAAACTAAACCCGAAACCCTTTTTTTTGAGAGAGCTTAGGACGTAGACGGTATCAGAAATACCCGGTTTAGGTTAGGGCCTTGAGGCTTTATGTTGTTCTAAGGGTAGTTATATGGGTTTAGGGTACAGGGTTTTCGGTTTAGGGTTGCCAAGCATTTAGGATAGGATTTCGGATGTAGGGCTCTTGTTAGGTGGCTTAGCCTACCAAGAATGAAGAGATCATGCAAATTCGAAACTCAAGTAAGATCAACCTTCATGCAGAAATCAGCGGCCAACCATATTTCAACAGATCGGTTTAGGATTTGAGGGTTGAGGGTATGCTGAAATCCTTGCCAAAACAACCCCAAACGTGAAAACATCCAAAAACTGCCCCCCAAACAACCTTATAACCCTAAGCCCCAAAGCTCTAAACATCCCAAACCCTAAACCAAACCACTCAAAAAGAAAAGCAAGACAAAATAGACAATCTCAAACCCCAATGTTTGGACAGACCCCATATCAGTTAAGTATTTAAAACAAAACTTGGGATATAAATTTCATAATTCAAAACAAGTAAAAATCGCCAGCGCCTGGAGAAGTCGAGGCTCGCCACCTCCGCACTGCTCATCGGCCGGCTGCAGCCGCTGCTCACAACGGCCAGGCGGGGAGGAAACCCTAAACCCTAAACCCTAAACCCTAAACCCTCAACCCTAAACCCCAAACCCCAAACCCTAACAAACCCTAACACCCCCAAACCCTAAACCCTATTGAATCAAATCACTTCGAAGCGCCCTAAACCCTAAACCCCTAATCCGCAAACCCCTAAACCCCTAAATCCCTAAAACCCTAAACCCTATACACCCTAATGCAATATTCGATCTCAGGGAGCGCCTCGTCCAGCGCCGGCTCCGCGCGCGGAGGCGGCTGCGGGCAGCGGCCTGCGCCGTGCGCCTGGCGATGCGGATCATGGCCGAGGCCGGTTTAAGGTCTATAGGGTTGAGGGTTTATAGGGTTTATAGGGTTTATAGGGTTTATAGGGTTTATAGGGTTTATAGGGTTTATAGGGTTTAATAGGATTTGTAGGGTTTATAGGGTTTATAGGGTTTATAGGGTTTATAGGGTTTATAGGGTTTATAGGGTTTATAGGGTTTATAGGGTTTATAGGGTTTATAGGGTTAATAGGGTTAATAGGGTTAATAGGGTTTATAGGGTTTTATAGGGTTTATAGGGTTTAGGGTTTAGGTTTGGGGTTTATGGGGGGTTTGGGGCAGGGGGGGGGGGGGGCGAGACAGGGGGGACCTGTACGTGCTATGCGGTTCCGGTTCCGCTCCGAGAGCTCGAGCTTGTCTAGCCTTTCAGCCTTTCTAGCAGAGCTCTAGCCTTTCTAGCATTGCCAGAAAAGCGCGACAAGCTTTTCTAGTCTTTCTAGCAATGCTAGAACTGCTGGAAAAGCTAGGAATCCTAGAGTTCTAGCTTTTCTAGCTTTGCAAGCATTTCTTCATGTCGATCAAAGAGGCTTATGCTTCCAGTTTGGGCCATATAATCAAGCCGGCGGTGCATTTTTCCAGCTGTCCTTTCAGAAGACGTTCTGTTTCATGGCCGTGATTCCTCTATACTACATCCAGTCGCCAGCTTCCACAAGGGCAAACGACCCCGAAGGAGCCTAGCAGTTATCGCAGTAGAATTTGTGCTGTGATATGAGACAGCGGCGGCTAGCAATAGTAGTGGAAGGAGCACCAGTAGTTCTCGTCGAATTAGCACTATTAGAACTAGGTGGTGTGAGTGGTGTTAGTGGTTCGGAGTGGTATTTGTAATTGGTAAAGGTGGTGATGGTGATGCACAGAAAAAACCGCATAATGCTAAAAGGTCTCCGCCTCCGCCGCCGGGGGCGGGGGGGGGGGGGAATTTAGAGACTTCTTTTGGTTGGGGGTGATGGGGATGGGGGTGCGGGAGTGTAGGGTTCTGAGGGGTATAGAGTATAGAGGGTTTAGGAAGGGTTTAGGGCATACAGGGGTTGAAGGGCTAAAGCGATGTTGTGGGGTGGAGGGTGTCAGGGTTTACAGTAGGCGTCGCTTCTTTAAACCCTAAACCCCAAAGCCGGACTCTATTCTTCGGGTTCCCATCCTGGGCTTCTCAGATTCCCAGGTGCGCCTGCAGCGCATGCAGAAAGCCATGCGGAAATGGTGGCTACTGCGCTCAAGGCCGTGCCGTTTAGGGTTTAGTCCTCGGACCCCTTGACAACCAAGAAGTCCTTTCTCTCCGTAATCTACCCTCCCAGAACGGCCTTTAATTTTGGAACAACCCCAGCTGGCCTATGCTGCTAGAAGTTTCTGTCGGAGCATGTGGGGCCAAGTGCTTCACCGGGCGGCGCAGAAGCAGCGCAGGGTGTCTCCCGGCTTTCCACCCGTCGTCGGCACGCGCCACTGCGAGGTCAATCTCTGGCAGCCAGCCCTCACTCTCATGAATCTGGTTGCGCGAAGCGGGGTTTAGGGTTTAGGCCTTAGGCTTGAGGCAACTCATGGGCCTTATGTTTTGGTTTTCCATGAAGGTATTTCGTCACAAACGTCTGTCGAAGTCCGGCTGCCTCGTTGTTCAAGGGCCCAGCGTTTGGAGTCGAGCTCCTGCAGACCTTGTCTCATGCAGTCGGATTTTTTGGGGCTAAAAGGGCAAGTTTGGGGGAGGCCGAATTCTTGCCCGGATCTTCAGCCTCAAGTTACGTAAAGCGACACGACACGTAAACCACCAATTCCTGCATCAGCGACAGGTTGGAGACGTGGCTGACAGACAGGGCCGAGGTGCTTTCGGGACTTGGGGGGTCGATGGGGTTCGATTTTTTGGGGCGAGGGGGTTTTCGAGTTTGAGGGTTGCCAGCTCGGGTTTGTAACGTATGGGATGTGCAGACTTTGAATTTGAACAGGCCACATTCACCTGCCTTTGTCCCGTCAAGGCTCTCCTGGAGGAGGAGGAGCGTCGCAGGGAGGAGGAGCAGCAAAGGGCAGAGGAGGAAGAGCGCCAGCGAGTTGAAGAGGAGCTGCGCAGAGCAGAGGAAGAAGAGCTCCGCCGGGCGCAGGAAGAGGCGCAGCGCCAGGCAGAGGAGGAAGAGCTTCGCAGGGCTCAGGAAGAGCAGCTTCGGAGAGCAGAGGAGGAGAGGCTCCGCAGGTTGCAGGAAGAGCTGCTTCGCCAGGCAGAGGAGGAGGAGCTTCGCAGGGTGGAGGAAGAGCTTCGCATGGCGGAGGACCAGGAGCGCTGCACAACGTAAACGGCATGAGGTGTAAGTAGAGTCCGGGTCGTGCCAGAAGTACTTTGCCCCCCCCCCCCCCCACAAGTCCGCTGCCTATGATGCTGCCGCATTCGAGGAATGCTCGTTTGATGTTGTCGCCAGCAATGTGAAAGCCAAGCAAAACGACAGTGCAATGATGTACTGGTAGGCGCAAGTTAGACCAAAAGCAATGCTTGTACGGCTGTGGCTGTGTCTGGGTGGTGTGAGCTGACTCCATTCTTCTCAACTCTATATAAGACCTCTCCATGTGCACATTGCTTGAGCCATAAGTCAATAAGACACCGCGAAATTGAAACCTGACAGGAGCGGGAGCGAGAAAGAGAATTGGAGCGCCAGAGACACGCAGCAGAGCTCCAGCACCAGCAGGAGCGTGCGCGAGCGCGCATGGAAGCGGCAACTCGGACGACGTTGAGAGTAGCTGAACTGTGAGATATCACTAGACAGCATTGTTTATCTCTAGAATCACCCAACATTCTTCATTGTGCGAGAACAAAGCCGAGGAAGAAGCGCTCCGTCTTCGAGAGGAGCAGTTGCCGGGCTTGGTTTGGATGAGCGTGCGTTTCGGGTAGATTCGGGTAGACCTCCCTGAATGTCTTGAGCCCGAAATCGTTTCACTTACTTGCGCAGGTTTGCCTTTCCTTTCGAACCGCAGAGCAGCTGAGGTTGCTTCAAGCGCGCGAGGAACCCGGAGACCGGTCCTCTTCAGAGCCCCTGGAGTCGGAGCCGGAGACGCCCCGGGAAGGGGATGCCGGCCTCGATCATGAGAACGAGGCATCCGAGGAGCCAGAGGAGGAGCACCAGGAAGACGAGGAAGAGGAGGAGGAGGAGGAGGAAGAAGAGGAGGAGGAAGTGGAGGAAGAGACAGAGGAGGAGCAAGGAGACAGGAGTGAAGCTCGCGAGGCTCTGGCAGTAGTAAGACGGGCCTGTCGTGCAACTGTAGCCTTAAATCCCAGTGCTCCCTCTAAAACCCGGTGAGTCCAACCTGAAGCACAAAGATCTCCAAACATTGAGTTCCTACGCAGGCGCGGACGAGGGAAGAGCGCCAGACGTTTCCGGATGCAAAGCACGCTGGGGAGGAGAGGGAATGAGCTTTATGCCCGTAGAAAACTCTTGTTTAGGTTTTGCTGAGAGAGGTTTCGTTAAAGGGCCTGTAGGCCTTTCCAGGTTTTGAAGAGGTATGGCCTTGGACTATCAGTATTCAGTATTCACCCCTTCGTAAGAGGCTTTTTTAAGGTACTGGAGGAAGAAAGCATATCTGGCTGGGGTTGAGGGTTGGGTTGCTTGTGGGCTGTTGAACGTACAGAAGTTAGTTTGAAGTTTGGGAGACAAGCTTGAGACAATGCATTTTTTTCGGTTTTTGTTTCAGTTCATGGAATTGATGGATGGGGTCTGGTTTGCGGCTGAAGGGCTCTGGAGTGTTAGGGTTGGGTGCTAGACGGTTTTTCAGGTCTTCAGGCGTTAGGGTCTAAATCAGTTTCACGTGTGCCCTTCACTTTTGCTTGAAGGGCCTATTCTAGAGCATTCCTGCAGGCACTACAAGCCGAAACCAGACCTCACAAACCCTAATTAAACTCTAAACCAGCCAGGAGCAACGCAACTCGATCATGGAGGTGGCTTCACCCTGTCGGAGTTCAAGCAGCAGGCTCGCAGCCTTGCGAGGATCTTGCGGGAAGCAGGTTCCAGAGGCTTGAGGGCGGGTAGGGATCATGAGAAGTTAAGTCTTGGATTTAGGGTTTAGGCGTTTAGGGTTGCTGGGTCAGGTCAAAATCATGGGCGCTTTCTTGTTATCGCATGTTCCTGTGGTTTGGGCGCCGGAGGGCCCAAGAATTTAGACCGTGACTCGACTCCAAATCGAGGACACTGCCCCTCAAATCGACAGGAGCCTCCTCGAAACCCTAAACGCCACGTCAAGAACCTGAGCCCCAAACCCTATATCAAGCCCTCAGCCCTAGACCCTGCTTTCCACGTGCCTGTCGCCAGCTTCCTGCATTTCACAGGGCCGCGAGCTTCGCTTCCTGCATCCCCTAAACGCAACAGTAAACCGCCAAACCCTGAACCCGAATACCGCAGACTACGCACTCAGAATCACCGTATAAGCAAGTTCTAGACTCTAGACTACCCAAAATACCCCTTGAGACTACACCCTAACAGCTAAAACCGAAACCTCTGTGGCTATATCCAAACCTCCAAACCTCAGACTCCCACCCACCTCCAGGATCCTGAGCATGCCTTCTGACTACACAAGTCTATCTTGCGGTATCTGAACTTCTTATAAGCCTAAGCCGATTAAACCCTAGATGGTGGTAGGGTGTAGGATTTAGGTTTGAGGGGTTCGGGTCCCTAATCCCTATACCCTAAACCCTCTGATGGTCACCCATGCGGCTCCGAACATGGGGCGTGGCAGCACTGCTGCTTGGCTGGGCGCTCTCTCTTTGGAGGACTGCAGTGCTTCTCCTCTGGCTGTAGAAGGGTTTAGGGTCTAGGGTCTAGGATCTAGGGTCTAGGATCGAGGGTCGAGGGTTTAGGGGTTAGGGTTTAGGGTTTGGGGTTTAGGGTTTGGGGTTTGGGGTTTAGGGGTTAGGGTTTAGGGTTTGGGGTTTGGGGTTTGGGGTTTGGATTAGGGAGCCGAAGCCTCCATCGTCATGGGAGCCCATTGCAGTGTTCGTGCGGCCAAGCCGGGGAAAGGTATCGATAGTGTTCTGGCCAGGACAGCCCTAAACCCTATAAACCCTGAACTAATGAGACCACACGAATCACATCTTAAACCAAAACGTGCAGCGGCTTTATTTTGTTGTAACTTAGGAGGTTAAAGCCTTACTTGGTGTGCCTAGTCAATGATACCACGGCTGGATCCTCGATCAGAGGTTCCGGAAGGTTGCCAGCACAAAGCAGACTGGCCCTCAAATTGCACTGTGCCGCTCTCCCCAGCAGAAGCTGGTGACAGTGCTCTCGGTGCAGACCGAGAAGCACCCTGAACCAACCCTAGACCCTAACTGCACGAAGGCCGCGGTGTTTGATCCCCCGCCTCCGCTGTGGCACCGCCGCGGCGCTTGCGGCGCGGCCGCTGGCGCCCATCACAGTGAATATGCGCCGCGCGTGGCGCGGCTCAAGTGTGGGGTCAAGTTTGCTCGGTAGGTTTGGATGTTTTGTATTTTTCCGTACTCGGTTTAAGACGATTTTTTGGGGGTTCCGAAAATTGGGGGTGCCCTTTTTGGGGCTCTTTTGAAAGGTTCCGAGTATTTTGGGGAAAATTTTGGAGTACCCCTATTTTCGGAACAACCTAGTTTAGGGTTGATCGATGGTTTACAGCATGGTCTCGTTTCTGAGCTGCCCTGCTGACAGCCAGGGTCCAACAGCACAGACAGCAGCGAAGCCCTAAACCCTTTAAGGCAAAAGCCCTTAAAGCCTCAAAGTCTTCCCTTGTTTCTTGAGACCCTGAACAATAGTTCAGATACTAGGAGCCTTGCCCTGCCCCACTGGAGATCATCAGAGTCGTCCCTCACAGACCAGCGATGCTCCTGCTTCGTCCCCAAGACCTAGCCCTGAACCTCATATGAACCTCTATGAACCTCTATGGACCTCTATGAAACCCCAAACCCTGACCCAAAACCCGAAACCCCTCACTCAACCCTAAATCCGGTGAAGCCCTCCGAAGCCCGTGGCCGACTGCAGGATCGCCTCCCTGAAGGACGTGGGCGCGTCCCGTGATGTGTACTATGAGACTCCGCCTGGCGATTCATTGCTCACAGGGTTTAGGGTTTAGGTTCTGGGGTTTAGGGCTTTGGGTTTAGGGTTTAGGTTTCGGGTTTAGGGCTTTGGGTTAGGGTTTAGGGTGTAGGATTTCATGGGTGGTAATTTGATATGATGGGGCCGTAATCATACGTTGGAGCCCAAACAGGGGCGAGTCTCCATGGTCTCGCAACTCAGTTCTTCATGTCGTTTGGGTCAGGAACGTGTTTACGGGGTCGCCAGCTTATCCATGGTGAACTCTACATCCCTAAACCCTAAACCCTAAACCCTAAACCCTAAACCCTAAACCCTAAATCCTGAACCCTAAACCCTAAACCCTAAACCCAGGATGTCGTGGACCCGGAGCTATCGAGTCGAGAAGAGCAGGCATGGCGTAAACCTCGAATTTAGGGTTTAGGGTTGAGGGTTTAGGGTTTAGGGTTTGGGGTTCAGGGTTTAGGGTTCAGGAGGGCTCAGGCCCTGGATCCTCAACCTCCAAACCTGCTCACCCCCAGACCCTAAGGCTTAAACCCTGAAAGAGGCCCCCTTACACCCCCAAATCATGAGCCCCTAAAACCCCAAACCCGAAACTGCCCAAGGTCGGGTACTTCAATGCCGTTGGGGCGAACAACAACGGTTGGCAGCTTGAGCCGCCAGGCCAGACTGGTTTGGGGTTTAGAGTGGTTTAGGGTTTAGGGTTAGGATTTATAGGATTGGGGTTTAGGGTGGTTTAGGGTTAGGGTTTAGGGTTTAGGGTTAGGGTTTATAGGGTCGTGGGTTTAGGGTTTAGGGTTTTGCGCCGAGGTTAGAACCCGCAAGGTTTCAGGGTTTTGCTTTTCTCTTTAGTGTTGAGCATGTATTTAGGGTTGACAAGGCTTAGGTTGGGGGCTTAGGACTAGAAGGTGGGTAGTTAAAGGGAGGGTTCTGGGTAGGGTGATGTTTTTTCAACGCCGGGAATGCTGAAAGCACCTCCCAGAACAGCAACTGTAGTTATCGCCTGAATAGTGCTATATGGCATTGTATATATATATATAAAAGTGTTTTTTGAATATATATATATATATATGTATGTATATATGTATATATGTATATATGTATATATGTATATATGTATATATGTATATATGTATATATGCATATATAGCGCCCTAAACTCTAAAGCCTTAAACCACTTTATGTTCATTTTGCGTTGAAGCCTGAGCCGGAACCACCAATGGCCCCCCTCCCCCGGAGCATCCCCAGGCCCGAAATCGGGGCTCGCCTGCTGTCCTCGTTGCGCCTGAGTTGCACGTCCTCTTTTTCTGTTCTTTTTTTTCTTTGGGGGGGGGGGTGGGAAGTGGGGGGTTGCTGTTTTATTTTGTTTTTTTTGGGGGGCGGGGGGGGAGAGGAAGGGGGATTTCCTTTTCTAGGGAGGGGGTTCTCATCTGAGAGGGGGGACCCCAAGAATGGCTGTGACCGGGAGCGGTTTCCACCGTGAAGACACCCACCGCCTCGGAATCACTTGCCGAGGCAGCTGACTCCAGACGACGTGCTGATGGACTTGGGATGTAGCACAGGCGAAACCCACTGTTCAAGTGTCTTCAGAGCGAGTTGTGTACTTGTGGGGGCTCATGACCAATAGACTTCAAGATTCCGAACAACGACGCCAGCAACGTCCTAGCAGCCTGTCCAACGTGGAGGGGTCTTTCTCGGGTGCTTCCTGGACTTTGGAGCCTAGGGGTTTGGCCTTTTGCTTGGGTACTGCAGGGGGTCCGATTTAATGAGAATGGGTTCTTTGGGTAGTTAGAATTGGACAATACTGGTAATTACGCGCTTTAGGCTCTGGGCAATTGGGGCGTAGGGAGCGGCACAGCCGGACAATTATGATTTCCGTGCCAGGGCGTTAATGCACAAGGTCATTAGCCACTAGCAGTACTACTCGTTTGGAACCTAAACCTCTGCGGGCTCCATCCCAGAATCCTAAGCTGTATGCCCTCAAATCCACGTAACGCAAGCCAGAGGAGCCTTCGTGCTTCTTTCGGCGCTGCTCTCGCCTGCTGCCGGTCTGGAGTTTAGGGCTTGCGGGATAGTTTTTTGGCGAGGGTGTTGGGCTTGAGCGTTTGTTGGACTTCAAAGTTTGTTTAGATTTAGGTTGCTGAATGTTGCTGAATTAGAGGGTAGGGTGAGCGAAGCAAATTCAGGGGTCGACCTTCAGGGTGCTTTTCAGACGCTTCAGTTTCAGCTCAGGCACGCAAAGTGATTGGTGTGGAGCTGTCTCCCTCCCGCCACGCAGAGGCGCCGCCGGACACACCGGCGTGTCTGGGAGACGTTGACATGACTTCGAATATCTTCGAATACACCTTTTATGAACTTTCGCATGCTTCATATTGTGTCGGTTTGGTTGCGTGAGATTCTTGGTGTTGTCATGGCTTCTTGATGGCGTGCTTTGGGTTGCGTTTTGTCTTCAGCTTTCTTTTCTGCTAGGACTGCTGACCTGGTGAGCCCTCATTCAGAACCAAAAGCCTTCAACAACAGCGGCGAGTTGCGATTGCGGTTACGATTGTTCTTCCGCTGGTTCCTGATGGTGGCGGTGGTTTGGCAGTGGCGGTGGTGCAGGCACAGGTGGTGGTGAGTGGCGGCAGGGGGTTGTATTTCGCAAGCTCAGAAGGCCAACTTGAGACCTCTCAGCCTAGAGCCCTAACCCGGGAGAAAGCGGCTTTAGGGCTTCAGGGCCTTAGGGCTTCAGGGCTTTAGGGCTTTAAGGCTGTAGGGTTTAGTGTCCTAGATTTGGGGTAAACAATCAGCACTCCAAGCTTCTCGACCAAGTGGCCTGAAGCTCCGCACCAGGCCGAGGCAGCACTGGAACGGCTGGCCGTGCGAAGGCCCCGCCGGTTTCAGATTGCTTTCTGTTTCGTTTTCTGTAGCTATGAACGTTTTATGTAGTTATGAACATAGGGTTCAGGTTTCAGAGGTGTGGGTGGGGGATTTTGCGGCTTCAGGGTCTCTGCCCAAAGCCCGCAAAACCCTGAAAACCCAAGACCCTAAAGACCCCAAACCTCTCCGCAGAGAGGCCGGAAGTTGCTGCCAAAGCCCCGCCCTCGGCTTCTGTGGCCCTTGATGGCTGTGTGCTCGAAGCACACTGAGGGTTCAGGGTTTAGGGTTCAGTTTGGGGCTTAGGGTTCAGGGTTCAGGGTTTAGGGCTTAGGGCTTAGGGTTTAGGGTTTAGAGTTTAGGGGTTCGGGTTTGGCCTATGATGAGGCCCATTTGGGGTATTTCCAAAATAGCCCCTAACATGGCCCCTCGCACACGAAGAGCCAGCGCCTTCATCTGCCTTCTGCTTTGTTGTCCGAGGTGCAGTTCCTTCAAGGGGACTTCAATGCTCGCTCCGATGCCAAGATCTCACAGGCACCAGCAGCTTGTACCACAAGAGCCACACGTCTGGTGCGAAGTCCAGAACCCGCCCCCCCCCCCTTCCCCAAAAAAAGGCGCTAAACCCCACATCCGCAGAACCAGAACCGATGGCATCCCCGAACTTACAGAAGTGGGGTTTCGGTGTTGCAGATTCTGGGGCTCCTGTCTGTCCTACAGTTGAGCCGTGCAACTTCGGGCTTGGGATAGCTAGGGCCTTCCGTGGACCAGGCAGTGCAAAGCACCACCGTGGCGTACTACGCTTGCAACAGCCGCTTGCCTTCATCGGCTCATGTGTGCAGAATTCATAAGGGTGGCTGGCAAAATTATAGTCCCTTTCTAGATCCCTAGTTTTAAAATACGGCACCTAATATTTGGGGTAACCAAAAGACGGGGAGGGGGCACCATCAACCCTAAGCTCTAAAGCCATGAGCGCTTAAGCCGCAAGAGAGTACTGTTTTTTCTTTTGGGGGGGGGGGGGGGGGGGGGGGGTTGGGATTTTTCAGGGCCAGCTGCAGGGTTTTCGAGTTTGAGCGTTGCAGGGCTTCGGGGTAGAGGGTGAGGCCCTAAACCCTAAACCCTAAACCCTAAACCCTAAACCCTAAACCCTAAACCCTAAACCCTAAACCCTAAACCCTAAACCCTAAACCCTAAACCCTAAACCCTAAACCTAAACCCTAAACCCCAAACCCTAAACCCTAAACCCCGGCAAACTTTGGGCTTTCAGCGCCAGGCTTGGCCGACTTCAACCTCTCCACTGGTGAGGCGACGTGCAGGTGGGCAACAGGGTGCAGAAGGGTGTTTAGGCAGTTTAGGGTTTAGGGTTTAGGCAGTTTAGGGACTCGTGTTCAGGGTTTAGGGTTTAAGGTTCAAAGCGTTTAGGGTTTAGGGTTTAGGGTTTAGGGTTTAGGGGGTTTAGGGTTAGGGTTTAGGAGGTTGCGGGCGTTTAGGGTTTAGGCTTTTGGGTTTGGGGCTTTCGGGAAGGGATCGGGCTTGGGAGGCTCAGGGAACCAGGCTGAGAATTTGTATGCCAAAGCCCCCCTAGCATTCTGCTGGCGCCCCCTATGCTTAAGCCCCGAATCCTGAACCCCCGAGTAGTTGCTTCTGCCGCTTTACGAGGAAGGCCAGAGGTGGATGAGTAGTAGAGGCAGGCTGTAGTGGAACCGCTCTAGCGGCTCAAAGGTTTGGGGGGGCAGTTTGGGTAGTTTGCTTGTAGGGAGGCTTTCTTGAATGAGGACTCTGCAACCTGCTACACTCAAGCTGTCGAGCAGGTGGTCATGAGCCTTTAATGCGAGTTGAGGCCCGCAACCCTCAACACCCAAAGATGAGCCCCAAACCCTGCACCCCAAACCGTCAGCCCTAAAGCTGAAGCCCTGAACCGTAAACCCTAAGCCCAGTATCTTTTGGACCAAAGTGCCGCGAATTAGGAATCTCCCAAGAAAGGTACCCTGTTTCCCCGTTTTCGGAAACTCCTAAGTAGTAGAGCTTCTCGCAATGCGCGTTCGGCTCCTTAGCCTGGACGTCACCGACACACTGTTGGAATGGTCTGCCACCATCGGCACGCTCTACCACCGAGGCTTTTGTGGGTTGAAGGACTTTAGGCTTTAGTGTTCCAAGGGCTGTTTTTTTGGTTTACAGGGTTTTGGGTATTAAGGGTTTGGGGCTGAACGGGTCTTGGTTTAGGGCGCACGGCTGATGTTGTGACTGCTACTTAGAGCATGTTCAGTCAGTGCACCTGAGCATATGTTCTTCCACTTGCAGTACCGCAATGGCCGGTGAAGCCCTGTTGAGGCTTCCTACGGGGTGGAGTGGCACCTGGCATGGTGCCCACTGCGGCCGAACTGGATGCCCGGTTTCCCGCCGCTTTCAAGTCAGCGAGTCGGCAGTGGCCTCTCTTTGGTCACAAGGCCATCTCCTCTTTCACGTTTTGGCGGGAGGTCGCCGGCAAGCTTGTGGAGGATACGGCCTTAGCCCAGGATGACGAGGCCTTTGACAAAGGCTTTAAAGAGATCTATGCCTTGTTCCAAACTGAAGAGGCCTACAAAGCCTACCCCGATGCCCTTCCGCTGCTTCGCTGGGCGCGATCGGTGGAAGGCCTTAAGGTTTGCGTGCTGTCAAACGCCACAGAAAGCTACGAGCAGAATGTTCTGCCTGCCCTGGGAATGGCAGAATACATCGATTTCTGCGTTATCTCCAAAGTGGAGGGCGTAGAGAAGCCTGACAAGGCCATCTTTCAAGTCGCTGCACGGAGGGCGGACGTTGAGCTCGAGCACGTGCTCCACGTGGGCAACAGCTACAGCAACTAGGCAGGACCTTAGGATATCTTATGCTGTCCTTGCCTGCTACTTGTGATTCCATTTGCGGAATCTTTTCAGAGGCTTTGAACTCGGTAGGCCCTTGGGACATTTTGGATTTTCCCTTTTTTTGGGGTTAAGAGGATCATATCCAGCGAATTTTTGAGAGGGTTTTTAGGGGCCATCCGAGTAAAGAATCACCTCAGGCAAGGACTACTGCGGCGCGATCGCAGCGGGCTGCCGAGCCTTGCTACTGAGCCGGCAGAGCCAGGACACCTCAGCTCCCGAGGCGACCGTCCGCTCTCTTTCAGATGTCTGTGCCTGGCTACAGGAGGATGGAAGACTCGGGTTTAGGGTTTAGGGTCCAGGGTCGAGGGTTTAGGGTTTAGGGTGCGGCCAGCTGACAGGGTCAGTGTCTGGCCGGATCGTGGCGTGCTTCGATACTCGCCACCTCCGGCACTTTGGACAGCAGGGCATGGAGTAGGAGGATGGTCTGCAAGCAGCTGCTCTTCGCCAAAAAAAGTTCCGCAGCAGTTGTCTTCTGACGCTAGCTTCGACTGTTGCAGCAAGTCTGGCACCAGTCGCAACAACATCGGTTTCCAGGGACCCTAAACCCTAAACCCGAAGCCTTAAACCCCAAATCGGAAACCCGGCATGCAGCTCCCGCAGCTCGAGCTCCCTACAGCACCCATATGCGTAAGTTCTAAAAGCATCCCCCCCGAACCCCACACCCTAAGCCCCCTTTTGGCCCAAACGTTGAAAGCCCAAAACCCAAAGCCCCAGCCCCTAGACCCTCACCCCAAACCCAAACACTTTGCTGCATCCCAGACCCCCCAAAACCCTCCTCCCTCCCGTGAAGCCCTCTCGACACTGAATCCCAGACCCCGCCATCCCCCGTCAGGCCGGTGGACGATGCCCCGGTGGTAGCGGCACTGACGCCCGGGACGCGCTTCGTGAGCCGCGAGCTGAAAGGGTTTAGGTAAGAAGATCGACTGCCCAAAGAAAGACCGGTCGGACTGAACAGGCGCCTAAAATTATGGTGCGAAGGCACTGGTGCACTTGTCTAGTGACTAGACCTATGGCAACCGAAGGTGAACTGCTTGGGGCGAGGGATGTTGGTTTTTGTGCAAGCAAGCGTTGTGGGATCGCGTTGCAGTCGTGATGTAGCATGAGGCAGCTGTGGAACCCGAAGCCCTAAATCCTAAAATCGCTGAAGAGCGCCTCCCAAGGTCTTAGCGTCTTGGCGCCGGAGTTCGAGATGTGGCGACTTGGCAATGGGAGGAGTGCAAAATGCAGCAGACCTGGAGTTTATGGGACTTTCAATGTAAAATCTCCGTCAGGTTTTAACCCTAAAGCCGAGGGTTTAGGGCGCCCGCGCCAAGGAACCAGGTGGAGCTGGAGGGTGCCATTGACATGGAAAGAGCGTACTCGGCCAGGGGCCCAGTGAGGGAGGTTGTACATTGTGGCACTTGCTTAGGTCGTACTACGTAAGGCAAGCTGTAGGCAAATCGGAGCTTGCAGGCTAGCTTTCTGAGGTCAAGAAGAAGCGCTGCCGCCTCGCGCTGGAATATCGAATCCTTGGTCGCCTCTGACAAAAAGTTCCGCTGCCCCGCTCATCCATGCTGCTAGGTCCGCTAGGTTCATGGGTAGTTAGAAGTTATAAGTATGGTATCCTTAGCTATGGTACATCTAAGCCTACGTATACCGACCCGTGAACCTTCGAATGTGCATTTTTTTTCAGCTTGCCGACCACTTGCAAGCTGTCCTTGCTGTTATGAAGTGGCTTGTCGTGCATATGGCTACCAAGTTTTGCATGGCTTAATCACTGCAACAGTGTGCGTGCTTAGCATGGCTGGGGATGTGCGCTTGCCCACGCAACAACCACATCCTCCAAGCCCACACCCCTGCAAGCCAATCCAAACTCGTACAGCCGGAGTCTGGAGTTAAGGCACCAGCACCTGCTAGCCTATCAACCCGCTCTGAGATTAGTATTTTCGGAATCGGGACGCCCGAAGCCCCAGCCTACACCCTGCACCTGCAACCCCCTTCTTTTTGGCCGTGCCGGCCAGGCCCCCTGAGCCGTTGCTGGAACAGCTCCAGGTGTGGATGATGCTTCAGGGTTCAGGGTTTCGCAGGGCATGAGAAAGCAAGGGGTTTGGGACAAGAAGCAAAAGGCCCCGACCTCTTCCAAAACCTCAGGAGATCAACGCATGTTCTTCTGCTTTTGGGCTGTTGTAGGGTTTAGCTCCCTTCAGGGCTGGCTCGCAACTCACGTGGGGAGGAAACTGTGCACCCTGACGTAACATCACCCCCTCAAATCCCCTCAGCTCGGATAGGAGTCATCACGTGCTCACACAAATCACGAAGGGAAGCAAAGAAGTACCGTAGCCTGCGAGGATTCTGGCCAAACGGTTGCCTGCCGCCGAGTTGCATTCAAGTTGGTTTGGAGTGTGGGTAAAGGGGAGGGGCCTTAGGTTTCGGGAAATGTGTTCAAGGGCTTTAGGGCGTAGGGTTCATAGCCTCAAGCTCCTAAGCTTCGACCCCTAAGCCCAAAACGCTTAAGGGTCGAGGTTTTCAGAACTTTGGGCTTGTGGCCCTTTAGCTTCAGAGAGCTCCAGAGGGTGGTCAGTAGCGTTTAGCGCACCCTCAGCCCCAAGCCCTCAACCCCAATTCCCGATGAACGGCAAAGCTGGCCCAGCCCGGCACTTCTCAAGTGGGTTCTGATGGAAAATTTAGGTCTAAGGTCGAGATCGGCTTTGGGGTTCAGGATTTAGGGCTTTGGGGTTGAAGGTTTGGGGTAAAGAGTGGAACCCCTAAACCCTAAACCCTAAACCCTAAACCCTAAACCCTAAACCCTAAACCCTAAACCCTAAACCCTTTGTGCCCCAAGATGGCTCTCACCCGCGCAGGCCGGGCGCTGGAAGCGCGCGTGGCGGCCCTGTCGGAAGAGATGAACTCCAGGCCACCTTGGGGCTCTCTTGGGTTTAGGGTTCGGGTTTAGGGTTTAGGGTTTAGGGTGAAGGGTTGAGGCTTTAACCTCCTTAAGACCTAGTTCTCGTCAGAATAGGGACCCCCCCAGCATGACCCTGCAATTACCGGGTTCCGATCCCAGGGGCTGTAATTCTAAGGGTCATCGTTCATTGGACTGCGAGGACTTTGTAGCCCAGTGGTGCCCTTTTGCAACTTCTTGGTTTCCCTCGTAAAATAACCAACCCCCAAAAGGGTAAGTGTTGGTTGCCCTTGTAAAATAACCAACCCCCTAAAAGGGTAATTGTTGGTTTGCCTTGTAAAATAGCCAACCCCAAAACGGGTAACTACCCCTATTTGCAATATGAGGAGAAGGGGTGCACGGCATGGTTTTCATCTCCCAAAATGTTTTCGCGCACTAACCCCCCCCCCCCGGACTCCCCAAATATCCGTTCTTTGCCCAAATATGGGTATTGTTCCCGAAATCGGCCTGTAGATCGCACATCTTCCTAGTATATGTATTTCTCCGCAATTAGGGTTCAGGGTTTTTGGTTCTGGTTTTAGGATGCCTAAATACACAGCCGAAAGAGCCCCAAATGCTGCATGGTTGTTCTGGGTCGAGGGCTTCAACCTCGGGGTTTCTACGTTTTCTCCTCCGCTTGGAGCTGCTGGCTGTAGAGTACCCCCTGGTTCTTAGTAGGGATTGAAGCCCTACGTACGCGCTTTAGGGATTAGATAGGGTACATGTACCCCATTCCCTCATTCCATACTGTGAACAGCCCGATCCCACGGTTCCCGGCCTGACCGAAGCTCCGACGCAGGGACGCAGCCCACAAGCGGACGATTCAGAAGCTCATCGATGAGACGAAAGAGTCAGCTGGCCAGCAACATGATAACTACCACCCTAAACCCTAAAACCTAAACCTGCACCCCTAAACCCCCCTTTTAAGCAGTTCTCACTTCAGTGGCTTGAAGCCTATTATGCCGGAGGAGAGAGATCAGAGATGGGGAGCGGAGGGCAGAGGGATTGTTCCCCCTGGTTCCTAGTAGGGATGAGGTAAATGAGGGCCTTATTTTATACGCTTTAAGGGACTATATGGGGTACCTCATTCCCTCATTACCTACTAAGAACCAGCCAGTGTTTCTTGAGGCTGGAAGAGCAGATGCAGGCGCCAGAGGGATGCGGGCGAAGGGCTTGCCGTTTAGGGCATGTAAGGAATTACCCTAAACCCTAAACCCTAAACCCTGAACCCTGAACCCTGAACCCTGAACCCTGAACCCTGAACCCTAAACCTAAACAGGGCTCAGGGAGGGCTTTCGAGCTTTCTGGTCTGGTAATGTGTTCAGGGTGAAGGCATGGGCCTTAGAGGCATGTGGGGATGACTCAAGATGTCTTGATGTAGGGATGTAGGGGGAAAGGGGGGGGGTCCACAAAGTGGTGGAGGGCTGCATAGCTGAGGGTTCCTTTTGGGTTCCTCAACCCCTCGAGCCTTTCAAACCCCGAAAGCCCAGAACCCCTATAGCCCCAAGCTCTTTAGGCCGCAACTCCTAAGCCTTAAAGCCCTAGAACCCTAAACCCCATAAACGCCTAAAAGGCCCGCAAGGGCCCCGCCAAACCCTAAACCCTAACAAACCCTAAACACTAAACCCTAAACTCTAAACCCCTTTTGAACCGTAACGTCTTCTAGGCACCGGCGAGCGCTTCGCCGGGCCTGCAAGGCCCAGGTTTTGGGGACCAGGGTTTCGGGTTTCGGTTTAGGGTTTAGGGTTAGTTAGGGTTTAGGGTTAGTTTCTGTTTGTGGGGTTTAGGGCTTAGGGTCTAGGGGTTTAGGGTTTAGAGGGGCCTGGGTGGTTTAGGATTTAGGGTCATGTTTTGGTTGCTTCCTTTACCACTCCCCGGGCTTAACTTGCTCAAGGCTTGAGCACGACATCGGTACCGACATTGCCAAAAACCCGGCCTGAGAAACAGCATTGCCAGCATAAGAACGAATCGCGCATCCTCCGCAGTGGAGGGTTGTCGGGTGGTTTGGGGACCGTAGGTTTGAGGGTTTGAGGTTGAGGGCTTCGGGGCTTGCGTGCTTTCGGGTTGTCTGTGGGGCTCAGGGCTTTGGGATCGTGTGGGATGTGTTGGGGGGCTTGGGGGAATTCAAGGTCGGGGCTGTGCACAGGTTGTAGCTGCTTCGGCGAGACATGAGCTTGCTTCAAGCTGGATGCTTTTTTGGGGGGCAATACACCACAGGGTAAGTTGATCCATGCCTTCTTCCGCTGTAAATGGGCACGAATTTGGGGCTCCTTCGTTAGAGCTTTCCTCACACCACAATCCTAAACCCTTAACTTTCCCTAAGCCCTAAACCCTAAGCCCGAACATCCTTGGAAAGGCAGCCCACTTCAAGGCACACCTCAACGCCTCACCCGCCTTGCTGGGACACCAGAGGCTTGGAGGGAGGGAGGGGGGGTCGGAAAGATCCGGGGGTCTGTTTCGTCTTAGGCACCCTAACCCCTAAACCCTAAACCCTAAACCCTAAACCCTAAACCCTAAACCCTAAACCCTAAACCCTAAACCCTAAACCCTAATCCTTAAACCCTGGACAACTGAGGCTTCGGTTCGAGTTGAGGCTTAAGGTTTTAGGGCTTTGGGGCCATGATCTAGGTACTCCCCTGCCCAACAAGGGCTTCCTGAACCCCCCACTCCCTCAAACCCCCAAACTGGGCCTCACAAACTATAAGACCTATAAGCCCTGAGCCCTAAACCCTAAACCCTAAACCCTAAACCCTAAACCCTAAACCCTAAACCCTAAACCCTAAACCCTAAACCCTAAACCCTAAACCCCCACGATGCAGACCCGCAGCCTGCGGCTGCGCGGCACACCGACTCGGAGCCCAGCGCACCCCAAGGCACCGCTCAGGGCCTTGAGATTCAGGGAGTTTTTGTTTCGGGGGGGTTTCGGTTTAGGGGGGTTTAGAGGGGTTTTGAGTTTGGGGGGGGGGGGGGGGCGGGCTTAGGGGTTTAGGGTTTATTGAGGATGTTGGGATGAGGCTCATAGGGCTTTTGGTTTGGGTTTCAGGTTCAAGATTCAGGGTTAGGGTTCTGAAGGCTTCATTTGGGATGGCCGCAACCCCCCAAAGCATCAACAACGCGAACGTTTGAAACAAAAAGGGACGATGATGCGCGCCAGGGTCGTTTTTGGGACCAGTTTAGAACCCCTGCGGGAGACCCAAAAACTGCGTCCAGGAACCCAAATTAGGTGGGGTCTAGCACGTGTTGTGCGATAAACAGTGTACCTAAATATGGATGCTCTTCAGAAGCCGCGTTTGGACCTCAATGTTGGCTTCCCAACCGTGTCGGCGGTATATGCCCCCACGCGGGATAGCTGAAGCGGGCTGGCGCCTAGCGGCGGGACCACGGGCGTGCCCGGAGTTTAAGAGCCTCTGGCTCAGGCTGAAGACCGCCTTTCCTGAAAGCCGAAACGGGGGAGGGGGGGGGGGTAGGAGGTGGGGAGGCAAGGTCATGTCCTGACCCCCATCACCCCTCGCTTAACGGCCTATGGTCCCTGAATTCATGCACCGGTGTGGGTTGCACGGTCCTCCATGGAAAATTTGGAGGGTGTGAGGAGGGTGTGAGGGGGAAAGGGGAGGGTTCCTCCCCAGAACCATCCAACTAACCACCCTAAACTGCCCGCACCCTGGGTTTAGGGTTTGGGGTTGAGGGTTTCGGGTTTAGGGGTTTTCAGGTAACCCTAAACCCCTAAACCCCACACCCTAACCCTAGACACCCTAAACCCTAGACACCCCAAACCCTAGACACCCGAAACCCTAAACCCCAAACCCTAGACACCCTAACCTCTCTCTTTGCCAGACCCCTTCGCGCCGGGATTTGATCCTCGGCGACAGCTGGGAGTCGCGAGAAGCCACGCGCAGCTGGAAGCTGCAAGAAGCTTCCCTTTTGAGGGTTTAGGGTTGCGGTGACTGTTTTTAAACATGTGGAGGGCGGGCCCGGGACACGAGCCACAGAGGTAGTATAAAATATCTATTTAAATTTCCGTGTGTTTAAATGTGTAATCTAAGTGCCCTTGCTTTGCCCTGCAACTCGCCGACGCCGACTTCGAGAACGACAAAGGGTTTGGAACTTTTCAGGGGTTTGGATACTCGTGGACTCCCAGGGGGGCCTTTGGGTTTCTGGGCTTTAGCAGGCTTTTCAGGGCCGCGGGAAGCCAGAAAACACCCTTGGACAATGTCCTAGGTTTCTGTGGTTTTGGGGCCTTTCAGGGGTGGAAGAAGCCAGAAAACACCCTAGGACAATGTCCTAGGTTTCTGTGAGCTTTGGGGCCGTCCTAGGTTTCTGTGGGTTTGGGGCCTTTCAGGGATAGGAAGAAGCCAGAAAACACCCTAGCACAATGTCCTAGGTTTCTGTGGGCTTTGGGGTCTTTCAGGGTGGGGAGAGCCCAGAAAACACCCTAGGACAATGTCCTAGGTTTCTGTGGTTTGGGGCTCTAAAAGCAACTTCTGAAAATGCACCCTCCGGGGTTCGAGCCCGGGCTTCAGGTCACAAGCTCAATCGCTCTGCCACTAGGCCATTTGGCCTGTGCCTTTTCAGATTCGAAGAAGCTAATATTCGAGATTTAAGCTTACAATTGCTCGTTTTGGGCCCGGCTCCGGTCCCGATCGCGTTTTTGCATTTTGTCCTTTTCGGACTTGCATCATGGGAACTCCCCAAACCCCGTCAGTGGGCCTTGTTGAAGCTGTTCTGAAAGTCCGCGGGACCCCAAACAGATTCAGAACCAAAGCAAAAAAACCTAGGACATTGTCCTAGGGCTTTCCCTGTCACCTAAGCCAAGGGTAAGCCCCCCAAGCCCCCGAACCTCCTCAAAGAACCAAAGAAAAAAAAGTCTCGCCGCTGAAAGCCTCCAAGCCTTACAAAAGCCTGAACCCAACCGACGGCAGGCAGCCGACCTGGGAGACCTCTTCCACAGAAGGTCATTTTAATGGTTATGTTTTCCGGATGTTTAAAAACGGGGCGGCCCCACCCAACCCCTCACGGAGGTAGTATAAAATATTTGTTTTATTTATTTAAATGTCCGCATGTTTAAAAATAGGCACCGTGGGGTTTAGGGCTTAGTGTTTAGGATTCAGGGTTTACGGTTTAGGGTCTAGGATGCAGGGCTTAGGGTTTAGGGTTTAGGGTTTAGGGTTTAGGGTTTAGGGTTTAGGGTTTAGGGTTTAGGGTTTAGGGTTTAGGGTTTAGGGTTTAGGATTCAGGGTTCAGGGTTCAGGGTTTAGAGCCTTCAGCTCGAAACGCTAGACGCTGAATCCTAAAGCTAAAGTCAAGCAGGGCTGCCGCAGAAGCTGAGTTTTGGCCAAGTACGTGCCCTGCAAGGTTGATTTACACAAAGGGTCGATGCTTGGCTGCTGAGGGTACTTAGTAGGGTCCCGTTTCGGGTACCCTTAAGAGGGTTTAGGGTTTAGGGTTTAGGGTTTAGGGTTTAGGGTTTAGGGTTTAGGGTTTAGGGTTTAGGTAAGAGGGCTGATCATTTATAAGAGTTAGATCAGCCCCACCATCCGAAGCCGCAGTCTTGCCGCTAAACCCTAAACCCTAAACCCTAAACACTAAACCCTAAACCCTAAACCCTAAACCCTAAACCCTAAACCCTAAACCCTAAACCCTAAACCCTAAACCCTAAACCCTAAACCCTAAACCCTAAACCCTAAACCCTAAACCCCGATCTTCCTGTGAAGCCTTTTCCCACGTTTCTCCGGCATCTGAGGCAGAATGCACTACTCGGACTTGTACCCCGAGGACTTCGCCGTCAACATGCAAAGGCGCACGCCTGCGAAGCCGGCGAGGCGGCGATCCGGCTAAACGCCCTACACCCTAAACCCTAAACCCTAAACCCTAAACCCTAAACCCTAAACCCTAAACCCTAAGCCCTAAGCCCTAAACCCTAAACCCTAATCCTAGACCCTAAACCCTGAACTCCTTACCTTAAGCCCCACAGGTCCAAAGCTCTCCAAACCTTAGACTTGGCCCCATGTCTGCTAGTGATGCTACTGTCCTTAGTTGACTTCGGAGATGGACCCTTTCCCGCATCAGGCAAACAGAGTGCCAGCGAGATCAGACGCTCTCCGCGTTCAAGCGGGCACAGCAGGAGCGACTCGGTTCAATTGCCCGTGCATCCCTTAGCACAGCTCTCACCCTGTTGAGGCAAAGGGGTGTTGCTTTCGGGTTGGTTCTCTAGGGCTTTCGGTTTAGGGTTTCGGACATCTAAATGTCTAAATGCTGTGAAGCATGCATAGTTTGGCCCAGACTTCCCTCAACCCTAAACCCTAAACCCGGAACCCTAAACCCTAAACCCTAGTAGGCCGTAGCGGTTCAGGGCGCCAGGGGCTGCCAAGTCGCGTCGGCATGGGTTCCCCAACTGAGGCCCGAAGGGAACGACGTGAGCCACCACCTGATGCAGTGCCACCGCGACTGGTGGCATCATCAACGGCAGATGCTCATGAAGGACCCTCGAGTTAGGGCTTGCAGATTGCAGGGCTTGCCACTCCCATATCCAACTCATGGGAGGGGGGGATCATACAGTGTGTTCATGTTGGAGCCCCCTTCCTCAACTTAAACAACGAACGTTCTAACATCGAACCTTAAGAGAGAGGCAGCGAGGGTGCACCGTCAATCGTTGTCGGAAGTCAAGGGTTTTGGGGTTTTGGGTGTAGGGTTAGCGTATAAATCCTCCCAGATTCAGATCAGCACTTGACATGTTGAGATCTTCGAACCTTCAGGCGGAGGGATTACGGTCTTACTGTACGTGTCAGACCGTGAACATGCCGGGGCAATGTGGAAAGCAGGCATTCCTTAGACTCGACTCGGAAAGTAACGAACATGGGGCCGAGAGTCAAGATTGTTGCTACGCTGAGGCGAGGCTCCCTATTAATACTCACGGAAAACAGGCAATGGTTCCGAAATGGGAGGGTCGAGTTATTGGATGTGGAGTTCCGAGGGCCGAAGGCATGCGAAAGTGTAGAACTTCCGAGCTTGCGAGTTCAAAGGGCTTGGTGCAATACCTGATTGCTTGAAGGATATGGGCTGCTCGCCTGCGCACGGCTAGTGACAGTTTTGGCCCCGCAGATGCGTGGGCCTACCCCCCCCCCCCCCCGGAGGTAAGACAGGGTTTAGGGTTTAGGGTTTAGGGTTTGGGGTTTAGGGTTTAGGGTTTAGGGTTTAGGGTTTAGGGTTACCCGCACCTTGAGCCATTGCACGCCAGAGCCCCACCCCCTCAGCCCTTGCAGGAAGTGGAACGGCAGGTCAGGCACATCGACTTCTCGCATCCGGGCCCAAGAGTTCCTACACTCCCCAGGCATCAGAGCCACCAAGCTTAAGTAGGGGTTGATATTATACCTGGGGGAGCTGTTGTTATAAGGGACCCAACATGTGCTTCCCCATATATCATTGTTTGCTGCCCATGAAACATCAGACGCAGTTTTGGGGGCCACGCCGTCCGGGCAGGAGCTTCTCAAGGCCGTCATCCGAAGCCAACCCTGAACGTCCATCGGTCTTGGGAGCAACCTATAATATATGATATTATCACAAGAAAGCCTTATACCCTAAGCACGAAACCTTAAACCCCAAACCCCTAAATCCCAAACCCTAAACCCTCAACCCTAAACCCTCAGCCCTAAGAAGGCCCTTCCTGCACCGATCCTGAGACCTACGAGAACCCTTGCTTAGGATGTTCCCCCTCATACTAACAATGCTTAATCCGGGATTATCGTACCCCCCCCCTACTATAATCCCTGTTAAGGACTGTTAGTATAAGGGGGGAACACCCCAAACCCCAAACCCCAAACCGCAAACCCCAAACCCCAAACCCCAAACCCTAAACTCTAACCCTAAACCCTAAACCCTAAACCCTAAACCCTAAACCCTAAACCCTAAACCCTAAACCCCAAACCCCAAACCCCAAACCCTAAACCCTTTGCCAAGGTAGGGCCGATGCCCTGAGCCATGGGATGCCAAAGCTTTCCGGGGCTCGGAGTTTAGGACTAGGAGTTTAGTTGGGGCCCCCAAAGCCACAAAAACAGAAGGATCCTCTGGGTTTAGGGTTTAGGGTTTAGGGTTTAGGATCCTGATTCTTCGGAAAGAAAGGGCCCCTTTATGGGGGGACTCTAGAGAACCATGTTTATGTTTGTAGAATCCTGATGTTTTGTGGGTTTTTTGTGTGGCCCCCATTTTATATGCTCTGCGGAGGCGGAGGGGCTTTAAGGCTCTGGAGGCTTTGCGAAACCCTAAACCAGACCCTAAAACCTAAACCCTAAACCCTAAACAGGCAGGGTTGAGGGAGGGGGGTTTGGAGTTTATAGGGTCCAGGGTGGAGGGTGCGCTGCGAGGGGCTTAGGGTACGAGGCTTAGGGTTTCGGGTTTAGGGTTTAGGGTTTAGGGTTTAGGGGTTAGGGTTTAGGGTTTAGGGTTTAGGGTTTAGGGTCAACTCGGTGAACCCTCTTCGCCTTCCGCCAGCTTGGCCTTGCCAACTGCACTGTGGGGAGAAGGAATCGGAAGCCAGATAGGCGGTTAAGGGTGCGGGGAAAACCAAAAACTCTAAACCCTAAACCCTAAACCCTAAACCCTTAACCCTAAACCCTAAACCCTAAACCCTAAACCCTAAACCCTAAGGGGGGTTTGGGATTTAGTGTTTAAACCGACAAGGGCACCCTTCCTGTCGAGCCACCGCCGGTTTGTAAGGCTTAGAATGGTTCAATCATGGCTTCTGGTGCCTTCGGTAATTACTCTGAAGCTCCGGCTCTAATTCAGTCCCACGGCCAGGGCTCCATGAAGTGTTCCAAAAGTAAGGGCCTGTTTTCAACTATATGGAATGCTTTTTTGGCAGCTTTTTGCCCACAACTTGCGGGTGGACCCGAGGCCCTCTTATGTACCCTGGACTCCCTACCTAGAGGTGGCCCTGTTTCATCGGTCTTTCGGGCACGCTTCTCGGGGAGGTTTTAGTGTCTAAAGGGTGAGGATGTTTTCCTCTCATCAAAAGGACCCCCTTTTTTTTCAGCTGAAGCCGGCCCCTTTCATGGCCCAACACAGCTCTCCAATGGAAGAGTCGCCCTGACTGCTGGGTCCATGAGGCTTCGAGACTCATGGAATTCCACCTGCATGCTTGGAAGGTTGCCACAAAAAACGGCCCGCGCGCTGGGTTTCCAGGGCTGTGTGGGGTCCGTGCTGTGGCAGGTGTATAGGGTTTGGGGTACCTCAGAGTTGAGGTTGAAGGCCTTTCTTTTGTGAGCGTTTGCTATCAGACTTCGACCGGCCCGGCCGCAAAGCGAGACCCGTCCCTTGCTTGGGACAAGCAACCCACAGGCGCAGCCCATGCTGTCTCATGAGCCTCCGGGATGGTAGAGAGCTACTCATTCTGTAGCCCTGTAGAGTCACCATGCTGCTTGAAACGAGGTGGCTGACCTACCATCTCAGCATTTGTTTTGCGGACTAAGCCCTGAATTCCAGGCGATTGGGCACTGTCTTCAGTGGCAACATGCCGTGATCGCCTTTGATGGCTCCAGTGACCTTTGGACACCCGACTCTTTCCGTGACCGAGAACTCCGCGAGCCATGCCCGTTTCCGGTGCCGGTGTCTTGGTCGTTTCCTTGGTCCAGCTTGCCTGGGCGCAGTATGAGATCCCCCAAGCGGCGATGGTGCCAAAGGGCTACGTCACCCCCGGCTGCTTCCAGGACAACTTGGAGGACAACCAGGTGTACTACCAACGCGTCAAAGACATGTTCAATCCGCATCAGACAAACACGTACTGCGGCGGCAACCTTTCCTTGAACGTGAACCATCCCTGCACGTGGTGCGGCGGCCAGGCGCAAATGACCGTCGGACCAGTAATCAACCAGTGCCAGTGGAGCATGCGTGCTTTCCACTGGCATGACAGTTCCAACGAATGGGGCTCCTTAACGCAAGGGGTCATGCAGGTGTACCTTGCCTCACCCAACAGCTTGCCGTGGAAGGTGAGCGTGAACACCATTGGAGCTGGCGGCGTTTGGTTCTTCCCAATGGGATGGCCCCACGCGTTCCTGTGTGTCTCCGAAGAAGGTTGCAACTACGTCTTGACCTTCGACGGTCCGCAGGCCGTTGCCGTGAACGACCACATGTTGGCCCAGAGCTATTCCTCCTTGCCTTCCAAGATTGCGTCCTTTGTCCAAGGTATGACGGAGGAAGAGTGGGCTACGGCCAAGCCGAAGGTGGACAGCGTGGTGCCGGACTTCTATGTGAATGTGAACCCCGAGGAGTTCAAGTGGCTTGAGGAAGAGCTCGCTCTTCCGGCTGCCGTGAACGGTTCGGATGTCGAGGTCAAGGACAACCGTCCCAACCTGGGCGTGAACGTCGAGGTTTGGAACATCCGAACCGCGCAGTTCCCTTTTGCCACGCAGATGTCGCAGCAGCGCATCAAGCTCGGGTCCTGTGGCTTCCGGAGCCCGGTGTGGATCACCAACGCCAACGCGCTCATGACGGTGGTGAGCGGCAAAGTCAACGCCTTCGTTCAGGGCGGAATCAGCGGAGGCTTTGACATCGCAATCTCCGGGACGACCTACAACGGCACGAACCTCGAGGCCAACGACGCCTTCTACTTCCCCATCCGCCGCAACTACTGGATTGAGGAGGGGCAGGTTTCAAGCGCTCCCCGAACCCCCTTACCAGCGTTCCTGTATGGTTTATAGAGGTTTATAGGGTTCATGGGGTTCATAGGGTTCAGAGGGTTTGTTATGGGGTTTAGGGAACGAGACGGACGCCCGCTCTGACGCCCATGCAGGAAGCCACTTGCGAGGAGGGCGCCGAGGCCGAGGTGATCGTGATCTTCGACGTCGGCGATTGGGTCGGCTTTGAGATGGCCGACGGCTTCGGCTGCCGCAACACCAACGGCGGGAGGGGGGAAGGGGCGGGGGGGTGGGGGTGTGGGGTTGGGGACGGGTTCGGTGCAGAAGCACTTTCTTTTGTTCGTCGAAGAAGAATCGTGCCAATTAGCCTGTGTACTGGAGTCAGGGCTCATCGTCAAGGGCGGCAAGGGCCTGGACTTTGCGCACGAAGCCGTGCCTTGACCAGCAGCTGATGGTGGTTGCTTGGGGGGGTTTCAGGGCGTTGAGGGCGTACATGAAGGATTGCAGAAGGGGCACGTGGTGTGCACCAGGCTTTGGGCGGCATCCACTGCCCGGAGACGGTTCCCAACGAGCCGCAGCTCCGCCAGAAGGAGCAGAAGGGACAGCTGCGCCGCCACCGCCAGGACGACGCCATGTCCTTCCTGCAGCAGCCTGGGAGCGGGGACACGGAGGAGAAGGTGGAGCTGTGAGCTGCAACCTCGCAAATTGGTCGCAGCCGATGTGGAGCCAGACGAGCCCACATTCTTCGTAGATATTTAGTGTTTCAGAGCGTTTCAGATTGAAATTGTTTCGGATAGTTTCAGACGTCTTCCAACACCCCCCTTTTGTAGCATCGTTCCCACGGCAGGGCCGGTATAGGGGGAGCTCCAGCGCGCTTTCCGCAGCGACAACCTGACTCTCGCTCATGTGCATACGTCTTATCGTGCATGGGAGCGACTCGAACAGGAGCTGTGAAGACCAAAAAAGGGCCCATGGCTAGATCCATCACTGCCAAGATGGTATAGAGGTTGCCCTGTGAATATAGCCGTGTATGGTTCCAGGGCACACATCGACACATTCAGCCCTGGCCTGTGAGACATCTACCCGCTCGGGGCGCTGGCTCAAGCAGGGCAAGATAGCTAGAGGCCAAGGCGCACGCGAGACAAGTGACCTTGGGCTGCAATAGAAGCTTCAGAGCTCAAGGGCTCAGCCTTCCTTCCCCTAGACCCTAAACCCTAAACCGTCTATGCCCCTTAGCTTGACACACTTCAAAGCTCAACGCTGCTTTCACCTGCCCAGCGTGAACTGTCAGATCCCGGTTAGGGTTGAGGGTTGAGGGTTTAGGGGGAGGTTTAGAGGTAACCCTAAACGATTCCCTTTGCAGGGGTTGCCGGGGTTTGGGGTGGTTTGGGGTGGTTTGGGGCGGTTTGGGTGGGTGATAAGGAGTGCAAGGTTGATAAGGCAAGTTCTTTCGAGGCCTGGTTCAATCATGGATTTCTGGAGCTTTCGGCAGTTTTTTTTTCTGAAGCTCCGGGTCTCATTCAGTCACCCGGTCAAGTTTCCGTGAAGTCTCAAAATTAGGGGCCTCTTCGGTTAGAATGGTTTTTTCGATTGGGCTTAGAATTGAGTGCCTATTTAGTGGGAAGATGCATGTCGAGCAACTTGGTGAACTCACGCTTCTTCTGGTGAAGGAACGAACTCTTTGCTTCAACGCCGAAGGCCCAAGCGCTCCTAAAGCCTGGAACCCCCCTGCCCAGAAGTGGCCCGACTCATTGGCCTGTACGGCGCATTTCTCGGGGTTAAAGTTAAAGGGTTTATAGGGTTTAGGGTTTAGGGTTGAAGGTAGTAAAGCGTTAGGATGCTCGGGTTTTAAAGAATTCAGCTTCGCTCAACCAAGGAAAGGGCGCGCCTATGTCGCATTGGAAGAGCCGCCCTGACTTCCGGTCCATAAGGCTTTTACGCGTGGAATTCCACCTGCACGCCTGGAAGGTTGCCGCAAAAACGGCCCGCGTGCTGGGTTTCCAGGGCTCCGTGGGGTCCGTGCTGTGGCAGGTGTAACTGTATAGGGTTTGGGGTTTTCAGGGTTGAGGTTGTCATTATGTGCTGGAAGGGACACGTTCCGGACTTCGACCGGCCCAGGCGCAAAGCGAGACCCTTGCAGCAAGCAACTTGAAGCGGTAACTCTCCTAACGTCCAGTACGGTAGAAAGCTGTAAACTGCAAGCCGTGAATCCCAAGCGATTGGCCACTGTCTTCAGAGGCAACATGCCGTGATCGCCTTTGATGGCTCCAGTGACCTTTGGACACCCGGCTCTTTCCGTGACCGAGAACTCCGCGAGCCATGCCCGTTTCCGGTGCCGGTGTCTTGGTCGTTTCCTTGGTCCAGCTTGCCTGGGCGCAGTACGAGATCCCCAAAGCGGCGATGGTGCCAAAGGGCTACGTCACCCCCGGCTGCTTCCAGGACAACTTGGAGGACAACCAGGTGTACTACCAACGCCTCAAGGACATGTTCAACCCGCATCAGACAAACACGTACTGCGGCGGCAACCTTTCCTTGAACGTGAACCATCCCTGCAAGTGGTGCGGCGGCCAGGCGCAAATGACCGTCGGACCCGTGATCAACCAGTGCCAGTGGAGCATGCGTGCTTTCCACTGGCATGACAGTTCCAACGAATGGGGCTCCTTGACGCAAGGGGTCATGCAGGTGTACCTTGCCTCACCCAACAGCTTGCCATGGAAGGTGAGCGTGAACACCATTGGAGCTGGTGGCGTTTGGTTCTTCCCAATGGGATGGCCCCACGCGTTCCTGTGTGTCTCCGAAGAAGGTTGCAACTACGTCTTGACCTTCGACGGTCCGCAGGCCGTTGCCGTGAACGACCACATGTTGGCCCAGAGCTATTCCTCCTTGCCTTCCAAGATTGCGTCCTTTGTCCAAGGTATGACGGAGGAAGAGTGGGCTACGGCCAAGCCGAAGGTGGACAGCGTGGTGCCGGACTTCTATGTGAATGTGAACCCCGAGGAGTTCAAGTGGCTTGAGGAAGAGCTCGCTCTTCCGGCTGCGGTGAACGGTTCGGATGTCGAGGTCAAGGACAACCGTCCCAACCTGGGCGTGAACGTCGAGGTTTGGAACATCCGAACCGCGCAGTTCCCTTTTGCCACGCAGATGTCGCAGCAGCGCATCAAGCTCGGGTCCTGTGGCTTCCGGAGCCCGGTGTGGATCACCAACGCCAACGCGCTCATGACGGTGGTGAGCGGCAAAGTCAACGCCTTCGTTCAGGGCGGAATCAGCGGAGGCTTTGACATCGCAATCTCCGGGACGACCTACAACGGCACGAACCTCGAGGCCAACGACGCCTTCTACTTCCCCATCCGCCGCAACTACTGGATTGAGGAGGGGCAGGTTTCAAGCGCTCCCCGAACCCCCTTACCAGCGTTCTTGTATGGTTTATAGATGTTTATAGGGTTCATGGGGTTCATAGGGTTCAGAGGGTTTGTTATGGGGTTTAGGGAACGAGACGGACGCCCGCTCTGACGCCCATGCAGGAAGCCACTTGCGAGGAGGGCGCCGAGGCCGAGGTGATCGTGATCTTCGACGTCGGCGATTGGGTCGGCTTTGAGATGGCCGACGGCTTCGGCTGCCGCAACACCAACGGCGGGAGGGGGGAAGGGGCGGGGGGGTGGGGGTGTGGGGTTGGGGACGGGTTCGGTGCAGAAGCACTTTCTTTTGTTCGTCGAAGAAGAATCGTGCCAATTAGCCTGTGTACTGGAGTCAGGGCTCATCGTCAAGGGCGGCAAGGGCCTGGACTTTGCGCACGAAGCCGTGCCTTGACCAGCAGCTGATGGTGGTTGCTTGGGGGGGTTTCAGGGCGTTGAGGGCGTACATGAAGGATTGCAGAAGGGGCACGTGGTGTACACCAGGCTTTGGGCGGCATCCACTGCCCGGAGACGGTTCCCAACGAGCCGCAGCTCCGCCAGAAGGAGCAGAAGGGACAGCTGCGCCGCCACCGCCAGGACGACGCCATGTCCTTCCTGCAGCAGCCTGGGAGCGGGGACACGGAGGAGAAGGTGGAGCTGTGAGCTGCAACCTCGCAAATTGGTCGCAGCCGATGTGGAGCCAGACGAGCCCACATTCTTCGTAGATATTTAGTGTTTCAGAGCGTTTCAGATTGAAATTGTTTCGGATAGTTTCAGACGTCTTCCAACACCCCCCTTTTGTAGCATCGTTCCCACGGCAGGGCCGGTATAGGGGGAGCTCCAGCGCGCTTTCCGCAGCGACAACCTGACTCTCGCTCATGTGCATACGTCTTATCGTGCATGGGAGCGACTCGAACAGGAGCTGTGAAGACCAAAAAAGGGCCCATGGCTAGATCCATCACTGCCAAGATGGTATAGAGGTTGCCCTGTGAATATAGCCGTGTATGGTTCCAGGGCACACATCGACACATTCAGCCCTGGCCTGTGAGACATCTACCCGCTCGGGGCGCTGGCTCAAGCAGGGCAAGATAGCTAGAGGCCAAGGCGCACGCGAGACAAGTGACCTTGGGCTGCAATAGAAGCTTCAGAGCTCAAGGGCTCAGCCTTCCTTCCCCTAGACCCTAAACCCTAAACCGTCTATGCCCCTTAGCTTGACACACTTCAAAGCTCAACGCTGCTTTCACCTGCCCAGCGTGAACTGTCAGATCCCGGTTAGGGTTGAGGGTTGAGGGTTTAGGGGGAGGTTTAGAGGTAACCCTAAACGATTCCCTTTGCAGGGGTTGCCGGGGTTTGGGGTGGTTTGGGGCGGTTTGGGTGGGTGATAAGGAGTGCAAGGTTGATAAGGCAAGTTCTTTCGAGGCCTGGTTCAATCATGGATTTCTGGAGCTTTCGGCAGTTTTTTTTTCTGAAGCTCCGGGTCTCATTCAGTCACCCGGTCAAGTTTCCGTGAAGTCTCCAAATTAGGGGCCTCTTCGGTTAGAATGGTTTTATGTCGAGCAACTTGGTGAACTCACGCTTCTTCTGGTGAAGGAACGAACTCTTTGCTTCAACGCCGAAGGCCCAAGCGCTCCTAAAGCCTGGAACCCCCCTGCCCAGAAGTGGCCCGACTCATTGGCCTGTACGGCGCATTTCTCGGGGTTAAAGTTAAAGGGTTTATAGGGTTTAGGGTTTAGGGTTGAAGGTAGTAAAGCGTTAGGATGCTCGGGTTTTAAAGAATTCAGGTTCGCTCAACCAAGGAAAGGGCGCGCCTATGTCGCATTGGAAGAGCCGCCCTGACTTCCGGTCCATAAGGCTTTTACGCGTGGAATTCCACCTGCACGCCTGGAAGGTTGCCGCAAAAGCGGCCCGCGTGCTGGGTTTCCAGGGCTCCGTGGGGTCCGTGCTGTGGCAGGTGTAACTGTATAGGGTTTGGGGTTTTCAGGGTTGAGGTTGAAGGCTTTGTTGTCATTATGTGTTGGAAGGGACACGTTCCGGACTTCGACCGGCCCGGGCGCAAAGCGAGACCCTTGCAGCAAGCAACCCGAAGCGCAAACTCTCCTAACCTTAGAGAGCTGTAAACTGTAAGCCATGAATCCCAAGCGATTGTGCACTGTCTTCAGAGGCAACATGCTGTGATCGCCTTTGATGGCTCCAGTGACCTTTTGGACACCCGACTCTTTCCGTGACCGAGAACTCCGCGAGCCATGCCCGTTTCCGGTGCCGGTGTCTTGGTCGTTTCCTTGGTCCAGCTTGCCTGGGCGCAGTATGAGATCCCCCAAGCGGCGATGGTGCCAAAGGGCTACGTCACCCCCGGCTGCTTCCAGGACAACTTGGAGGACAACCAGGTGTACTACCAACGCCTCAAGGACATGTTCAACCCGCATCAGACAAACACGTACTGCGGCGGCAACCTTTCCTTGAACGTGAACCATCCCTGCAAGTGGTGCGGCGGCCAGGCGCAAATGACTGTCGGACCAGTAATCAACCAGTGCCAGTGGAGCATGCGTGCTTTCCACTGGCATGACAGTTCCAACGAATGGGGCTCCTTGACGCAAGGGGTCATGCAGGTGTACCTTGCCTCACCCAACAGCTTGCCATGGAAGGTGAGCGTGAACACCATTGGAGCTGGCGGCGTTTGGTTCTTCCCCATGGGATGGCCCCACGCGTTCCTGTGTGTCTCCGAAGAAGGTTGCAACTACGTCTTGACCTTCGACGGTCCGCAGGCCGTTGCAGTGAACGACCACATGTTGGCCCAGAGCTATTCCTCCTTGCCTTCCAAGATTGCGTCCTTTGTCCAAGGTATGACGGAGGAAGAGTGGGCTACGGCCAAGCCGAAGGTGGACAGCGTGGTGCCGGACTTCTATGTGAATGTGAACCCCGAGGAGTTCAAGTGGCTTGAGGAAGAGCTCGCTCTTCCGGCTGCGGTGAACGGTTCGGATGTCGAGGTCAAGGACAACCGTCCCAACCTGGGCGTGAACGTCGAGGTTTGGAACATCCGAACCGCGCAGTTCCCTTTTGCCACGCAGATGTCGCAGCAGCGCATCAAGCTGGGGTCCTGTGGCTTCCGGAGCCCCGTGTGGATCACCAACGCCAACGCGCTCATGACGGTGGTGAGCGGCAAAGTCAACGCCTTCGTTCAGGGCGGAATCAGCGGAGGCTTTGACATCACAATCTCCGGGACGACCTACAACGGCACGAACCTCGAGGCCAACGACGCCTTCTACTTCCCCATCCGCCGCAACTACTGGATTGAGGAGGGGCAGGTTTCAAGCGCTCCCCGAACCCCCTTACCAGCGTTCCTGTATGGTCTATAGATGTTTATAGGGTTCATGGGGTTCATAGGGTTCAGAGGGTTTGTTATGGGGTTTAGGGAACGAGACGGACGCCCGCTCTGACGCCCATGCAGGAAGCCACTTGCGAGGAGGGCGCCGAGGCCGAGGTGATCGTGATCTTCGACGTCGGCGATTGGGTCGGCTTTGAGATGGCCGACGGCTTCGGCTGCCGCAACACCAACGGCGGGAGGGGGGAAGGGGCGGGGGGGGGGGGTGTGGGGTTGGGGATGTTTTGGGGTTCGGGTTCGGGCATCCGTGCAGAAGCACTTTCTTTTGTTCGTCGACAATTAGCCTGTGTAGCGGAGTCAGGCCTCATCGTCAAGGGCGGCAAGGGCCTGGACTTTGCACACGAAGCCGTGCCTCGGGCCTAATAGCTGGTGGTTCCTTGCAGGGGTTGTCAAGGGTTGGGGCTGAGGGTTGCAGAAGGGGCACGTGGTTCGCGCCAGGCCTTGGGCGGCATCCAGTGCCCGGAGACGGTTCCCAACGAGCCGCAGCTCCGCCAGAAGGAGCAGAAGGGACAGCTGCGCCGCCACCGCCAGGACGACGCCATGTCCTTCCTGCAGCAGCCCGGGAGCGGGGACACGGAGGAGAAGGTGGAGCTGTGAGCTGTGAGCAAATTGGTCGCAGCCGAAGTGGAGCCAGACGAGCCCACATTCTTCGTAGATGCTCATTGTTTCAGAGCGTTTCAGATTGTTTCAGATAGTTTCAGACGTCTTCCGACACCCCATCGTTCCTACGGCAGGACGGTATTGGGGGAGCTCCAGCGCGCTTTCCGCAGCGACAACCTGACTCTCGCTCATGTGCAGACGTCTTATCGTGCATGGGAGCGACTCGGACCGGAGCTGTGAAGATCAAAAGGCCCATGGCTAGATACATCACTGCCAAGATGGTATAGAGGTTGCCCTGTGAATATAGCCGTGTATGATTCCAGGGCACACATCGACACATTCAGCACTGGCCTGTGACAAATGTACACGCTCGGGACCATGCTGGCTCAAGTAGGGCAAGACAGATAGAGGCCAAGGCGCACGCGAGACAAGTGACCTTGGGCTGCAATACAAACGAGTGTAGGACCTCAGATATTGCAGTTGTGAGTTTGGGCGCGGAGGCTCAAGTTTCTGCAACTTAGCCGGTAGCTGGCTGGATCTCAGGGCCTAGGCTGCTAAAACCCTCGCGAAAGTTCATGTGATTCATAGTAGGTTGTTTAGGAGAAGACGCGTAAGGGTTAGTTGTCGTCAGAACCGTACTTACCGTGAGAACTACCAGTGGGCCCATGAACGTCTTCGCGGGGCGGGGGAGTGGGGGGGCTTAGGTCACTAGGATGCCCAGTATTAATTGGTACCCTTATTCCCTTTTTGGTAGGTTTAGGTTCCCTTATAAACCCCTTCAAGCAAAAAAGGGCACCCTGTTTAAGCCTAGGAACCCTATGCTACTATAACTCCTAGTAAGGTATATGAACCCTAAACCCTTTTAGGGCTCATTTCGTCCCCAAGGCTTAGGTAATTCCCGACCCAAGAAGCGTCACCCCCCCCACGATCACACGGACTGAGGGGCACCATGCCCAGTGCGCAGTTCAAGGCAGCTTGGAAGCTTTTTGGGCTTAGGGTTTAGGGTTTAGGGTTTAGGGTTTAGGGTTTAGGGTTTAGGGTTTAGGGTTTAGGGTTGAAGCATCTCAAGATTTGACTGCTTGTGGAGGCTCTAGGCTGTTCGATTCAGGGCCCTACGATGAGGTGTGTATGGTGTGTCTTTGCGAACTTGTTTCTTGGGGGCGGTCTGAAACATGAAGCTTACTGGCTTCCTGGGGCTCAAGGATCGATGGATACCAACTCTTCGAGCCACTACTTCCTGCGACTCCTCGTTCCTTAAACAGTTTAGCGGGACATTTCCCAGGGCTTGGGGGGTGGTGCTTAGAGGTCATCCTTGACCCCAAACCCCCAAACCCTAACGGCATAGGCATCAAAAAAAATAATAAGCATCAAAAAGAAAAATAATAGGGATCAATAAAAAAAATAATAGGCATCAAAAAAAAATAAGCCATCCGGCCCACCTGCGTGGTCCTCTGGTCCCGTGGTCCTCTGGTCCCGTGGTCCTCTGGTCCCGTGGTCCCCTGGTCTTGTGGTCCCCTGGTCCTCTGGTCCTCTGGTCTGCTTGTCTGTCCGCCTGGTCCTGCGGGTCCTATGCGTGTAAATAAATAATTAAATTAGACAAATAAGTAAAAATCAATAAATATAAATATATATATATATTATATACACACGATAGTGAAGGTCAACGTGTGTGTATATATATGTATGTATGTATGTGCATATATATATATATTGCATAATACACATTACATTACACATTACCTATTATATACTATACATTATACATTATATATTATATATTATATATTATATATTATATATTATATTTTATATATGATATAATGTATTATGTATTATGTGTTACGTATTCTGTATTATGTATTATGTATTATGTATTAATTATGTATTATGAATTCTATATTATGTTTTATGTTTTGTGTACTATGTATTATGAATTATATATTATATGTTTTATATTATGTATTCTGTATTATGTATTATGTATTATGTGTTATGTATTATGTATTATATACATATTTTTTATGTCGTATGTACTATGTATTATATATTATATATTATATATTTATATTATATATATTATATATTATTATATTATATATTATTAATTTGTTATATATATATTACATATTATATATTATATTAATATTATATATATATATTATAGATATATATATATTTAATTATCTGTTTTATATATATATATTATATTATTATATGTGTATATATATATATTACACTAATATATATACATTATATATATATATATCATATATTCTATTTTCATATTGTCGTACATTATATGATATGGTATGTATATAAATAAGTAAATATAAATATGAAAAATAAATAAATAAATAAAAAATAAATAATATATATATATATATTTTATATTTCATATCGCATATTGTATATTATATGTCATATATTGCATATCATATATTGTATATTGCATATTATATACTGCATATAATGCATACTATAAAGTATATAATATATAATAGATACCGCATACATAATATACAATATATAAAATGTATAATATTATTTATTATTAATTATTTTGTATTTATTATTCATTATATAGTATATTTTATATATTATGTAGTATGTATTATATATTGTTCTTTGAAGCCATTGGAATGCAAAGAAAATGGAAGTTTTTTGCTTAAAACATGTAGAAGTAGAGTTTTTCCGATGGAAACATAGAGATAATAGAGGATTTCTCATGAAAACGTGAAGACAGTAGACGTTTTCTTGTGGGAGTATGAAGAAATAGAGGTTTTCCCATTGAAAGATCGAGAAACTAGAAGGTTTTCCAACCACTACCACCACTTCTACGCATCGTGCGAACATTGTTTGCAAATGGGGGGGGCTGCGCCCCCCCCAACCCCCCCGCTGTCTTTTTTAAGCTGTGCAAAGCGTGCTGCAAAGCCAAGTGGGGGGGTGTGGGGGGGGGGTTGGGGGCGCATGCGCCAACCCCAACCCCGCCGCATTTTTATCAAGCTGTGCCACTGCAAAGCGTGCTTTATGAATCTTGTTGAAGCCATTGGGATACTAAAAAGTTTAAGTTTTTCTTAAAATACATGCAAATAGAGGTTTTCCGATGGAAACATAGAGATGATAGAGGTTTCCTATGAAAACGTGAAGAAAATAGAGGTTTTCTTGTGGGAATATGAAGAAATAGAGGTTTTCCTATTAAAAGATCGAGAAAATGGAAGGTTTTCCAACCACTACCACCACCCACTACTACCCATCGTGCGAGCATTGTGTTTGCAACTGGGGGGGGGGGGAGCTAAAGATTCGGAGATTTCAGGGGGTTAGGGGGGGTGAAGGATCAAAAAAAAAATAAATAAGCATCAAAAAAAAATAACCCCAAGGGATCAAAAAAAAATAAATAAGCATCAAAAAAAAAAACCCATTTTCCTCTTGGAATACTGCGGGGGGGGGTTGGGGGGGGTGGGGGGGGTTTGGGGGGGGGGGTTGGGGGGGGGTTGGGGGGGGGTTGGGGGGGGGGGGGGGGGGGCGCAGCAAACCCTAAACTCTAACCCCATAAACCTAAGCTTTAAACCCTAAACCCTAAGCTCTAAACTTTAAGCTCTCAACTCTAAACTGCCTATGGCCACTTGGCTAATGTCAGCGGCTGCGAGTCTGTTTCGAGCGAGCCGACTAGGCAGCCCTATACCCCTCAAATAGGGAACTTCACAATTTAGGGATATGTAGCTGACACAGCTCTAAACTAGTCAGGGGTCCTCACGAAGACATATGGTAGCTTTTTGGCTCGCTCGGATCACCTGTGAAGATGGGGGGGGGGGGGGTATTTCCCAAACAACGTCAGCCCCACGAGAACAGAAGCCGTGACCCCTCCCGGATTTCGAGTTCCGAAGCCATGAAGACCTCACCCTTGCACTCTGGTCTTTTCGCACGTATCCCAAACCAACTCGCTAAATTGCCCAAATCTCACGGCCGACGCCACTAGAGACCCTCAGGCCCGAAGAGCATAAGACCCTAAATGAACGCAACTCAAGGCGAAGGACCTGGTCTTCGTGCCGTGCCCGGAAGGGAAAACGGAGGAGTGCTCGATCTGTAAGGTGTTGGGGTTTTGGACTTTGGGCTTTGGGGCTCAGCCCCCCCGCCCCGGCCTAACCCCCAGCACCCACTCCCCAATAAGAGAAGCAGAGACACAGCAAACTCCAACAAACCCCAAACTCTATCGTCGGCTTAAAACCAGCCCCAAAGAAACGACCGAGCGCCTGTGAAGAGAAGGTCTGTCTGGGTAGAACCCAAGTACCCCTGGATGGGCCGAATATTCCGTACGATATCATGGGGAGGTGGGGCTCTGGGCTTGGGTGTCAAGTCGAGAGACCCAACGGTCGCAGGGTAGTGCCAGGTCTACGTTCAGAGTGGCAAGAAGATAAACACCCAGACATCAGCACCTATAGTCTTCTAGTTAAGAATTGTCCCTGCTCTACGGTCCCTGCTTGGAGGACCTTTGGCATATTTTTGGTAGGTTTCTAAGTCCCATTCAAAAACCTCCAAGACGAACAGGGGGGCAAGCTGACGGAGTGGGGGGGGAGAGGGTGGGGCAGGCATACCCGCTTGAGGAATATTGAAAGTTCCTTACATCAGAGTGTCCCCCTCTCCAGAACCCGCAGTCATTAGGGGATGCCTATCTTGATTTACGGAATAAATATTCCCTGGAAGTAAACACTTCTTTGCGAAGGAGGGCCCCTTCCTGACGGGGGTCGTTTGCGAAGTGCCGGAGGAGGGTGATCCAGCGCGGCGGCTTAGGGGTGGGTGGGTTCTTTTTGGGAGCTGCGGGATGTAAATGTCCGGGTTTGGGGCGTCGAGGAGATTTCGGGTGTTTGCGTGGCTGTTTCCTTTTTTTTGGCTAGTTTTGGGTATCTCGGATTCACCTTAAAGCTTGAAGGACCCAGGGTTGCCTGGCCAATGCAGAAGCTACGGGGCTTGAGCTCTGAGCATGTCGGCTTCAGGGTTTGGGGTTCGGGTTGGGATGTTCCCCCTTGTACTAACGGTCCTTAATAGGGACTATGATAGGGGGGTATTGTACTCCCCCTTAAGGGTTGTTAGTATAAGGGGAACATCCCAAGATGTTTTTTTTTCTTTTTTTTTGGGGGGGGGGGGGGGGGGGGGGGGGGGGGGCTTGGGGGTTTAGCGTTTGGGGTTGCACGTGCGTGGCTCAAAGTGTAGGGCTGAGAGTTTGGGGTTTGGGGTATCTAGGGCTCGGGGTAGCAGGTTCGGCCTTGGGGGTTTGAGGCCCCTAAGCCCTAAGCCCTAAATCTGTGAGATTTTGAGCTAGGGACTTGAGCCCGTGTGTTTGTTTTTCCAGGTCGTTCAGGTCGGCAAGACCACACAGCGCATTCCAGCATCGAGCCTGCGACGGAGGTGGGGACGGGCTAAAAAGGGGGCTTCGGGTTTAGGGCTTCGGGGGTTTATGGGAAGCCGCAGGCCTTTTCAAGGTCAGCCATTAGAAAGCACCGGAGCTGGGGACCCTCTAAGAGGGCCCCTGTGCTCTGTTTGCGCCATGTCGAAGTTCTCCTTGTACGCAGCGCGGCGCGCGAGGCAGGAGGAAGTCGGCAAGAATCGGCTCCGGGCATGGGTCGTGTGGTTTCTTGTGAGAGCTTAATCAGATGAGGCCTGTGCCTTTCTTTGAGGTGGGGTTCGTTGGTTTCCTAGTCAAGGGGTGGTGGATGGAGGGACCGCTTTCGCAGAAGAGCTGAGGCTGCTGGTGGTCCTGGAGCTGACGTCCGCGATGTGCTTCATTCAGGTGGCCACTCTGACCCACGGAGTGTTCGCAGCCATCCCACTCACCGCACTTCTTGTGGCGGCCGCCATCCGCCTGCACTCAAGGCCCCAAGTATTGCTGGAAGAGCCACTCTGCATCTTGTATCCCGACAACCAGTCCAGGCACGGCCTTGCTTGTGAGCAGAAGCCCAGCACCAGATTTGTCGCCTTTGCGTCCCTTCTGAAGCTTCTGTGCTGCGGCGTCTTCTTGGCAAACCTCGCCGGGCTTGACTTGTTCGAGGATCTCTGTCCGGACTCCGTGCCATCTCCAAGCTGCGCCAACTTTTTTAGCGCTCCTCATTCCTTTTATTGCATGGACATCTGGAGCTTCATGGAGAAGCCTGACGCCAAACGTAAGCATCTTTACAGACAAAAAGGCGACCCATGCTGGGGCCAATGTGCAACAAATGAGACTTGCGGGCCTCAAAGAGTGAATCTTCGAGCCGCAGTTCTAGATGGCAACCAATTGGCAGAAAGCCAATTCTGCCATTCTCCTTGTGAGTTGGATTGCTGCCAGTGCCTGCACTGCGAGCTGTCACCGGCTGTGCCAAGCTGGCTGAAGGAAGGGTGCACCAATGGCGCGTTCGCTCCGAACATAGCCCCCGACGAGCTCTACCTGTGCCTAAATAGTACTTGTGCTACGCAGCCGCAGCCTCTTCCCTACTACCAGGAAGCGGCCTGGAGCGCCGAGAACAAGTTTCTAGCACAGCTTGCGAGGTGCGCCCTGACCCACGGCAAAGATGGCCATGAAGTTCGTGTGGTCTTGTCCATCGTGGCGGCCCTCCAGTTCCTGCCCTCTGTTTCCTTGGTCCTTTTCCTTTCGCTGGGCATCTTGTGGCCCTTGCTGAACGGTGAGCATGTCTTGAGCATGCTTGGAGATGCGCCAGCAGACAGTGCGGCCATTCAGAACTCAGATGCCAAGGCCACGATCCTCAGAGATGAGATACGGCGCAAGAGGCTACAAGCCTCAACGAAAGAGCGGGGCCAGTTGTACATGGAGCTTGTACTGTTCTTGCTGGACTACGTCTCCGACTACAACTGTTTGGTGCAGTTTCTCCTCGAAGGGCAGTATGCCACAGCAGCCATACAGGCCGTCATCATTGCTGCCCCTTTGGCGTTGGACTGCTACCGCGGGAAAATCCAGCTTGTTGAAGTGGCCGCAGGCTTCTGCGAGTCACGCAGCAAAGGCTTCCCGACGAACAAGCTGATTTTGGCCCTCCGTTCCGAGAAGAGCATCGAGGCTCCGCTCTCTTTTTGTCTGCAGAACTATACGCTTCTGAGGGCCACCAGCTCCATGGCTGTCTACAGCCTCTGCCTTTCTATGCCGCTGAGCATCGTCAGCATGGCGAAGCACGTTTACAACACCTTTGAGCTCCAGATGCTGAATGTGCCTATCAGACCAGCGCCGCCCACACCAGAAGAGTCAAACGCAGTCATAGGCCTGGCCTATGCCAGTGAGCCCAACTACCCGCCAGGATTTCCCGCGCATGTGGTGCCTCTCGCCCCCCCTGCGTTTCCATTTGCCAGTCAGCCCAATTACCCGCCAGGATTGATGCCGCCCGCGCATGTTGTGCCTCTTGCCCCCACTGCGCTTACTCCAATCACCCTGAATAATCAGAAGGTGAAGGACACCGAGTAGAACGTCGCTGCAACAGGTCTCACTCTTGGACATGTGTAGCTTGCAGCTTCTGTGCTTTCTTTCATGAGCACAAGCTTTCCCGGATGCGCATGCCATGGTCATGCCGCATGCTGCAGCTCCATCTCCGAAGCTTTAAGGCTTGAACTTTGAATTGCTGTGTATCCTGGTATCTTAGCAACTGGGCTCGCGACAAAAAGTAGCCGAGAGAGTCATTGAGCTCCGGAAAGGTCTCTGCGATCTCTTAGTACAGTGCCGACTGCCCTTCAGCTCTTGATCCCCCCTCTGGACATTCTTGCAACAAATCTTATTGGAAGCTCCCCTCAGCCGGAAGCACCCTGACCAGGTTTATTCGCGACGATGGCGCCACCAGCCAGCGCCTGAACATGCCGAGCCCTGCTCCACCACCAAATGGGCAGTTCTCTAAGTGTGTCGTTTCCTAAAAATATGTTCCCTTTTTGGGTACCCACTATAAGTAGGTAGCACCTTGAAAAAGGGATCCCCAAAGGGGACGATAATCGTGCTCTTTTTGAGGGTGCCCTTACTACGAAAGGCTCCGCATGGCAGGAATCCCCAAAAAAGGGAACATAACTTCAAGACCTGCCCCAAATGTAGGGTTTTCTTGGGGCGCAGAGAATGTGGGGGGGTTTCGAGCCCCCTGACTAGGACTAGGATTTGGAAGACAGCCCCACAGCCCCCCAGCCCCCCAGCCCCACAGCCCCACAGCCCCGCAGCCCCGCAGCCCCGCAGCCCCACAGCCCCACAGCCCTACAGCCCCAAACCCTAAAACCCATTCCCGAAACCTTGCTTGAAGGCCGGCAGGTGGCGAAAAGCAGGGTTCTAAGCAATCAGTGGAAGCTGTAGCAATTCCTTGAAAAGGCGACTCATCCCCCTACTTCTAGCTACACATGAGCCTACACTACGAAAACCCAAGCCACCCAAGGAAGCTCCCTACACCTCAAACCTAGAAACTACCCCGAGAAAAGCGAGCAGTGGATCCCGAGGCCAAGACAACACCTCCCTTGTGCACCTGAACGATGCCACGATCTTGGAGAACCTCCGAGCGCGGCATGAGGTGGGATAACGGGTTGAGCCAGGGGAACCCTAAACCCTAAACCCTAAACCCTAAACCCTAAACCCTAAACCCTAAACCCTAAACCCTAAACACTTAATTAGGGTTCAGAGCCGGAGTGTTCAGAGAGTGCTCTGAGGTCTGGTCCTGCTTCTGCCTTCTCAGCAGGGGTAGTTCTAAAGCTCGGGCGCAGCATGAACCTTGAGACGGCAGAAGAGCATCTGGACACTAGGCCCTTGACCCCAAGCCCGCACCCCCAACGATGTACACCCTAAACCCTAAACCCTAAACCCTAAACCCTCAACCCCAAACCCTAAACCCCAAACCCTAAACCCCCCAAGACAGCAAGCCCGGGGTGTGGAATCTCGACAACAGCTGGGCCTTCTGTCAGGCAGATGAGATCTACACCTACACGGCCAGCGTGCCGCACCCAGGGGCTCAGCAGCTTTGTTCAGTTTCTAAGTAAGGGTTTTACGGGTTTTAGGGTTTTCGGGTCTTAGCGTGTTTTGAGAATAAATAGCAGTTTAGGTCTTTTTTCGGGGGTTTAGGTTTTTTAGGGGATTTGGGGCTTTTAGTTTTTTTTGTTGTTGTTTAGGGTTTTTGGGGGCTTAGGGTTTCAGGATTTTGGGGCTCTAGGGTTACTAGGTTTTGTTAACGTTTTTAGTGGTTTAGGGCTTAGGGCTTTAGGGTTTAGGGTTTAGGGAGTCTCATCTGCAGGGCTCTGAGAGTTTGTGTTCTGAGAACGCCAGCTGGAGTTGAAGAGCCATGCTTGGTTGGACACGGATTTGTAGCCCCTCTCAACTCTGTAGACCCTGCGATACTACATGCAAGCCTTGGGATGATCCCCCTTGTACCAGCAGTCCTTAATAAGGATTATAGTAGGGTTTAGGGTTTAGGGTTAGGGTTTAGGGTTTAGGGTTTAGGGTTTAGGGTTTAGGGTTTAGGGTTTAGGGTTTAGGGTTTAGGGGGTACCATAATCCCTATTGAGCACTGATAGTGTAAGGGGGAACATCTCAATGTGAGCCCCACAAGGCCTGACATGCCCTGTACCCTTGGCATCGCGCTCTGAAGGTGCTCCTCGCTGTGAACCCATACCATGATGTCACTGGGCCCCAGCCCCAGATAGGTTTCGGGTTTAGGGTTTAGGGTTTAGGGTTTAGGGTTTAGGGTTTAGGGATTGGAGTTTCGGGTTCAGGGTTTAGGGTTTTGGGGATTTGGGTTCAGGGTCTAGGGTTGTTTCGGGTGCAGGGTCTAGGGGGTTTGGAACATCTAGACCACCCTGCCTCCCCCTATCCCAGTTTTTCGGCTTTGTAATAGTGGGTGGCGGTAGGGTTTCGGGTTTAAGAGATATCATGGGTAGAGTTATACAAAACTCCAGTTGCATCCCTACTTCAACGACCCATGGACCTTTAAGTGGGTTAGGACGTCGGGCTTCGTGAGCTAAGAGCTTGTCCTTTCCACACTTGGGTGAGCGTGGAATGTCTTGGATGTCGAGTGCTGGCGCTGTAGTTTTACGGAGTCGGCCTGCATAACCCTAAACCCTAAACCCTAAACCCTAAACCCTAAACCCTAAACCCTAAACCCTAAACCCTAAACCCTAAACCCTAAACCAGCTGTAAATCCTGAGCCCATGAAGCGTGCCAGCCCCATTCGCGTAATGCACAACGCGCCAGGTTGTATGGCGAGGCACAGTGTACCCGCAACTTGCCAAGAGTTCGGCATTTTGACCTCTTTGTTCTTCGTCCCAAAGACTCCAATACACTCAAACAAACGTACGGATTCTTCCTGTCCCTCGATGATGTAAGCATATATACCTTTAGGTTACCTTTAGCAAAGAGTATTAAAGACTATTGTGCTGAACACCCTTCCCAAAACCCGAAACCCAGAACCCAAAACCCGAAACCTGAACCCATTTCAGATGCGGGCCCGGTCCTTGCTGCCCAAGGCATGCAGTTGCAAGTCCTTGGGATGCCACACGAGTCGAGAGTTAAAGGTCTGAATAGGGTTGAGGAGTTGGAGTTTAAGGTTTAGGGTAGGCCCTAAACACCAAGCCACGAAAAGCCCCAAGCATCTAAACCCGCCATTCTTCAAAATCTTGTAGTATCCAAAGAAGTACCCCTAAACCCTAAACCCTAATTATCGATGACGCCCCCCCCTCTCATATCTATTGTTGAAGTCGATGTTTCCTTAACCCTATCCAGAATCCAAAACCCTCAACCCTAAAGTTGCAGGATACCGCGGAAAGCACATCGGAGCGCTTCCGCCCCATCCCTACGCCATCGCGGACACGGCCTATCGCGCGCTGGTGCCACTGGCTCATGTTGGGCTTTCAGGGTTGAAGGCTGAGGGTGCGGGGTTGAGAAATGCAGGGTTTGAAAACAAATGCACGTAGCTTGCCGTACAGTTTTCAAAGGGCGGGTGCTAGCTGCAAATACCTCGTAAGCCAGCATCCGGGATCGCAATGAAGCCATGATGTAAATCTTTGGTTGGCAACCTTAGGGTCTTGGGTTTAGGGTTCGGGGTTTATAGGGTTTAGGGTTTATAGGGTTTAGGGTTTAGGGTACTGAATTGGGAGCCGCCAGGTGCGAGATCACAAGAACCAGGGGTTCATCATCTCCGGTGAGAGCGGTGCCGGGAAGACCGAGACGGCCAAGATTGCCACTCGACACTGATTAGTAAACCCAAGCCCTGCACCCCAAATTGGAATTTTCTTCCGAGCTTTTTCGGGTCCTTTTAGTGCGAGTTCCTTTGTAAAGGGAACCTAATTTGAATAACCCCGCATGTGCGTTCAGGATGTATCCACGAACCTCAAAACTCAGAACTCGTGTTCCCAGATTGTCCAGCATTAACAGATTTGGGGATTTATAGCTTAGGGTTTAATGTTCAGACAGGTAAAGGACTTGGGTTGACGTCCTACAGGACATTACAGAACCTATGCATAGACCGTACGAATACACATTATACCTAAGGGGTATTCATGTAAGGTGCAGGGGGCGGCTGGGCCGCCACAACGTATACCGGGAACCCTGACTCCTAAAACTTATCACTCCGCACATCTGTGGTGCGAGAACATTAGAATAGAGAACCTGCAGTGTAAAGTGCTTGCAATCCCACCCTAAACCCTGAACCCTGAACCCTAAACCCTAAACCCTAAACCCTAAACCCTAAACTCTCAACCCTAAACCCTAAACCCTAAAGCACCCCCAGGTCATGGAATACCTGGGCTATGTCTCCGGCTCTACCAACCAAATGACGGTGCCTCGGCTGCCTGACCTTTGGGCTTCCGGCCCCAACAACAGGTAGATCAACTTTGGTAGCTTTAGGGTTTAGGATTCAGGGTTCAGGGTCTAGGGTTTAGGGTGTAGGGTGTAGGGGAAACCCGATCTAGAAGACTACAAAGCGCTAACACCCTAGAATTTCGACTCCGAACCTGAAACCTTCGACCCGAAACCGCAGGTGCCGTAGACCTTGCACCCTACCTGACGGCTCCAATGTAATTCCTTGTGACCGCTCCAATGTAGTTCCTCGTTGGGTTTGTTATAGGGGATTCTAGTATACTACCCCAAAGCAAGGTACCGCATAGGAGCCTTAAACCCCTAAACCCTAAACCCCAAACCCTAAACCCTAAACCCTAAACCCTAAACCCTAAACCCCAAACCCTAAACCCTCCTTGGCCCCCGTGTTCCCTGAGCCGAGGCCCAGATCCAGAGGCGAGTGCTGCAAGCGCAGCCGATCCTGGAGTCGTTTGGCAACGCCGTGACCATGAGGACTGATCGTCTTGGTAGCCCAGTGGGTGCCCCATTTTTTTTTCCCTCTTTTTTTTGGTTTCAAGGTTTCCTTAGAAAGTAACCAACCCAAAAAGGGGTTCCGCTTTTTCTTTCAAGGTTTCCTTAGAAAGTAACCAACCCAAAAAGTGGTGCCCTTATCTTAAGATGGTTACTGGGCTGCCAAGTTCCACACCCGGCGAGACCCCAGTGCATGTAAGCTCAAAATACAGGATCCTACATCTTGCTTCTGCTTTTCCCTGATAATCCTTGCATAATCAAGGCATGAACTACACAAGAATTCGCATTCTAATCACCAGTACCTCAGGTTATCCTGCTTGGGCTTGGGTTTTTTGGGCGTTCAAGGGGAAATGGCTACATGGTCAGATGAACATGCGGGTTTATGAAAAATTAGGGGACCCCAAATGTAGATCCCACATAGTAGGATTCCCTTTAGTAAGGACCCCAATAAGGTACCCCTAATTTCGGAAACCCCCACAATTCTTCAAGCCATGCTGTATGTTGAGGGTTTAGGGTTTTGGCTTCAAGGGTCTGCCTAAATTACCGGGCACGTAGACCTGCAAACCCTAGACTAGGGTTTAGGGTTCAGGGTTCAGGGTTTAGGGTTTAACGTTTAGTGTTTAGGGTTTCGGGTTTGGGGTTTAGGGTTTAGGGTAGCTTCGGCGGCAGTGGGAGTGTTTGGGGGTCTGGCTGCCCTTGTGTTGCTTCCGACGCGCGAGGAACAACAACTCCTCACGCTTCGGCAAGTACAACAGCACCTTGGCCATCCAGGAATAGCAAGTGCACTAGAAATTAGCGATTGAGCAACATGAACAAGAACATTCATGGCATCATCGCAACAACAGTCTAGTTCCTATTATTTAAAGGTACTTGTGCTTGTTTCTTTGTAGCGTGCAAGGACCACGGCTCAGAGGATCCCCGAAATCGGACTTTGGACTTGCGAAGGAAGCTAACCGACAGTGAGCCGCCTCGCGTTTTCAATGGGATGCCCTTACACTGTAAACCTTAAAACTCTAGAAGCCCTCTAAAAGCCCTAACAGTCTGTAAACCCTAACATAGCTACACCAAGCGCCAAACCCTTCAAGGCATCTTCTTCGATGAGGACGGCACCTTGTGTGACGCCAGCGCCGCACGGCCTATTTGAGCCCAAAGCCCAAGCCATCTCCTACAGTACATACCCTTGCATACCCTTGCTGTTCCCGGTGGGCCCTCGGGATGTTTGTTTATCTCCAGAGGGTGATTTTTCAAATATTGTTTCACAGTGGCAAGTATTACCGCTCAGAAAATAGGAACCTTAGGATGATTCAGAATCTCTTGGGGCTCCCCGAAATCCGACACCGAAAGAGACTAAACCCCAAACAGGGCTGAAGCATTCTCTCTCTCACACACACATGCTCGCCGCCCAGACCCGAAACCCTAAACCGCAAATTGCCCCAACCCCGCAAGCCCAACACCCCAAAACCCTAAACCCCCTTCAGTCCCAAGAGCAGCAAGGATGTCTGCAAGCCCCCCTTCAATCCTTTGAGATCGGGCTTCAGGTTTCCGGGTTTAGGGTTATGCTGTCTTGAGGTTAATGTGGGCTTAGGTTGTTTTTGGGCTTATTGTTGCTCGTATGTCGGGTTTAGGCTTTCGAGCCTTCCCTGAATAAGTGTGGATCACCTACCTTCAAGACGCCAACTCCTTAGGGTTGCAAACATACACTATACCCTAAACCCCTAAACCCTACACCGCCTAAACCCCTATGCCAACGCAGTGTGGTCCCAAGCGATCGCATGGACTACATGCCCTTGGAGGGCTCAGCTGGTCGAGGGATTTTGGGGTTTCAAGGGTTTTTAGGCTTCAGGGCTTTAAGGGTTTCAGAGCTTTAGGGTTTCAGGGCTTTAGGGTTTCAGAACTCTAGGCTTCAAGCTCGTAGGGTCTAGGGCTTCACTGTCTCAAGGGTTTCGGGTTCAGGGGTTTGCAGTCCGAAATCGCAAGGTCACCACGTACCTCCTGGAAAGCTCCCGGGTGGTCGTCCACGCCAAGCGCGAGAGGACCTACCACTGCTTCTACGCTCCTAGGCTGCCAGAGATATCCTGGACTTCGGTGTTTCTGGCTTTTTTCGAGTGGTACCCTTATTCCCTTTTCTCTTTTGGGGGTTCCTTCTTATATCTGAATGGCAAGGAACAGGCTGGCGTTATTATTCATGAGCTACTGGACGACCTAGCTTCAGGGTAAACAGCAATAAAAGGGTCTAGGCTGATGGAGTCTGGGAGAGTTCTTCTTCTGGAGGTAAATGTCAACTGCTCGGAAGGTGCTTTGGGAGGGGGGAGGGCTAGCCGGAGGATCTTGCCGCAGATGCAGCCGTAGACCAGCTCAGCTAGCTGCATGCCTTGTCCGACACTAACCCCCAAATCCCAAAGCCTTCCTATTGTTCCTGAGGCAGCAGGAGGCCCTGCAACTAACCCTCAGCGCAGCTCTAAAGCCATATAGGGCCTCATAGGGCCTTACAACCTGTAAAACCCTCCTGAAAAGCCCTGGAGAAAGAGAACCCTAAACCCTAACGATCCTCAAGTCCCCCTCCGCCCTTAGCTTCTCCAAGGAGATGCTGGCCGGCCTTCCAGACGAGAAGCTGAAGAAGCTGCACCTGGAAAGATCGAGGCTTTGGCTCTAAAACGGGCTTTGTGTGGCCTTTTCGAGCTGGGGTTTTGGGTTTGTGTTAGGGCTTACATAGGCTTTACGATGAGCCCTGTGCAATTTTCGACCCCGAAAGCTCTTGGAGCTGTACAGGTGTAAAAGGGCTGGCGTCGAAGCCCTGAACCTTGAGAAGTCTCAACCCGAGATCCTTTACCTTGTGGAAGAGCCCAGGAAGCTCTACCTGCTCTTGGCCAACGAGGGGCAGACGGCGGCCACGCAGGCACACGGGGCTTGCGAGGAACTCGGTATCGTTTTCATCGTTTACACCCTCAACCCTAAACCCTAAGCCCTAAATCCTCAAACCTGACCCCTAAATTTTGAGTCCGGGGGACTGTGGGCGTGCACTTTTTTGTGTTTTTACTCTCTCGTACTTGATAACTATCGTTCAATCTTCAGGTGATGATCTCTCTCATCTTAATTATGAAATTGCCTTTTCATTATTTGTGCGAGAACATGCTATGCATGAAGTGCTACTACGCTTCATGCCAGGCCTACATGGAAACAGCTTTTCAGATTAAGTGAGTATCCCAGTGTGTTGGGCTATGGCAAGATATCCGGGTGAGTCTATACCTGGCTTAGTTCGTGAACTAGGAGGACAAGACGGAGAACTCACTTCGATGAGGCTGTTGGTCAAGTAACAGGTCAAAAACTCAAAGGACCAGAGACACGACCCATCAAGTGCGATCGTCGGAACGGTGTCGGTCCCCCTCCCAACGACCTACCCTTGCTCCAGCTTTTCTTAGTATCGTCCGAACAACGAATCCTAAAATCGCATATTTGAGCACCGGGAAATGAAGGACAGCTATTGGGACAATGGGGACACCCGCCTCACAGGCTCCGATAAGCCAGCATTGGGCTACTCCATGTTTTGAATCTTGACAGGACAATGCTGGCTTTGTAGTTTGTATGTGTTAATTTATTTTGGCAACTTGTTCTTTCGAATGGCAAAGAATGTTGTTTTATTGGATAAATTGTAGTTTCGCAAGGCAAAGTATTAATCAAATGCCATACGGAAAGTCCGCTGAAGTACTTTGTTTTTTATGCATGAATGTATATTATACAAAGCATTCGCCCTATGCGAGTTTAACTACTGCAGCACTTAGTATATAGCTGAATATTGACTAAATGAATTCAACTTAGAAGGTTGTTTTTTGTACAACTCAAGTACGCACTAGACACCTTGAGTTTCATAATAATGAAACCAATGCTACTGAAGTACTAGTTAAAGACTACTGATGCGCGATGCCTGAAATGAGACAGGCTTTAAAATACACAATTCTCATAGAAAAGTAGTTGTTGCCTCACAAAGGTCATAGCACAAGTAAATTCACAAACGCAAAAAACATCCCGAAATGCAAGCTTTTCAGGAGAACCTCTGGTGAAGTTTGGATTTGAGGGTTTTAAAGTCTCTCTAAATAAGTAAAGCAACTGTTTAAGCAAATAACTCTAGGCAACAAACCTGTTTCCAGACAAATATTGCTTCTACTAGGCAAAATATTGCTCAACCATGCAGTACTCGTTACATGTTGATTCGACCAATCTAGCAGTCAGTGAATATTCAATTATTGGGTGAGTACAAGATTTACTAAATATACACAGAATATGACATAATGCTCAGTAAATGATACTTGACTACAGAAAACTAATTCAATTACGTACTAATGAAATACCATTTATATACTATTCGCTTTGACAAGTACAATTTACATAGAAAAGCCTTGAAAAGCACAAATTCCTAAGAACCATACCATCCACCCAGTAAAGGCTATGGTACTGAGCATGGGAATGCGGTGTTTGGGGGCAGAATGCTCAAACGCTCTTTACATGCTACTTGAATATGAAACTAAATTATTCATGTACCCATTAAATACAGTACTCTTTAAGTGTACGATGCACAGAAAAGTACAATTTGCAAAGAGAAGCGTAGAAAAGCACAATTTTCTTAGAGAGAAGGGGGGCTCAGGCAGTACGGAAAAGCACAAAAAAGCCACAAACGCACAAAAACACACAAAAAGCTAAAATTAGCAAAAAGAACATGAAAGCCAAACAAATATATTTCAGGATTCTCCACAATATTCTCACGGAAAACCAAGAAACGACAATATTTCAGGACTTTCCACCAAATCTGTACGGAAAACCAAAAAAACCAAAAAAACCAAAAAACCAAAAAAACCAAAAAAACCAAAAAAACCAACAAAAACCAAAAAAAAACCAATTTTCAGGGACTCTTCGAAATTAGGCCATCTGCTGGAAGAGTCCTGAAATATTGGTTTTTTTGGTTTTTTTGTTTTTTTTGGTTTTTTTGGTTTTTTTGGTTCTTTTGGTTTTTTGGGTTTTTTTGATTTTCCGTATGGATTTTCCGTACGGTTTTGGTGGAGAGTCATGAAATATTGTTCTTCTTTAGTTTTTTTGTTATCCGTGGGACTGGAGAGTCTAGAAATATTGTTGTTACTTGGGTTTTTTTGGTTCTTCAACAGCGACAAAAGGCCGAGAAAGTGCACGCCCACAGTCCCCCGTTTTGTAAATTTTAAACCCTAAATCCTCAAGAAAACCCTAAACAGCCGAAACCCTACACTCTTGGGATGTAGACTTTGGGTTTCGGGAGTGGTTGCCCGACTGCCGCCCAGTCCTACTACCCTGTGCAGGAGGAGACCTCCGAGGAAAAGCGCTTCCACGCCCAGTTCCAGGCACCAAAACCCTAAGCCCCAAACCCAAAAACCGAAAACTCATAAGCCCTACATCATCCTAAACCTTAAACCGCTAACACCTACACCACCCCAAACCACCCCATAATTCGCCCTTCACCACCCTAAGCCGACTTAAACCACCTAATAGCCCTCAAGCTCAGGGGCTTGGCCCAGCTGGGGTTGATGCCCAGAAGCAGCCAAAAGCCTCAAATCAGGGTGTTAAGGTTCAGGGCTTTGGTCTTTTGATGGTTTAGGGTTTAGAGTTCAGGGGTTTAGGACCAATTCAGTACGGCTTTTGGGGAATGCCGAAGTCCATGGCCGCTTTAAGCGCGCCCGTCAGGTAGAAAGACACCCTCTGTAGATGATATATAAATACATATGTATATGAACAACTATATACATGCACATACGTCTGTAGGTACATGTACATATGGTGTGTATACATATATATATATATATATTTATTTATTTATAGAACCTGAAACCGTAAACCCTAAGCCCTAAAGTCCCCTTGTTTTGGCACCTTAACTGCACCGAGTGCTTCAGGACCTGGACCTCCGCAACTTCCGCCGGCTCTGTGTCGCGCTCGGCGACGTCGGCTTCAGTGAGGAGGACATCGACTCGACCTTTCAGGCGGCTTGTTGGCCTATAGGGTTTCGGGTTTAGGGTTCAGACACCTTGTGGGGCTTGTGTGAGTCACCCTGAGGGTTCTTCTGAAGTAAGGAAGAGATGCAAATTTCTCAAGGGATCCAGGCTCCCAAGGGCGCCATTCCAGCAAAATTCGGTTCCCTCAAAACCTGGGTGTCCTTGCCCTTGAAGCGGCCTCTTGTTGATCGTTCAGCACTCTCTCTCCACCTCTCCCTGAACCCTATAAACCTTAAACCCTAAAACCCTAAGCTGCCTTAAACTTAGGAGCCCCTCAAGGCCGGTACCTTGAGCCCTTCAAACCCCGAAGCTTCCTTTGAGGTGCTGGCCGGCTTGGTCCACCTGGGCGACCTAGCAAGCGCCGAGAGGGACGATGGCCGGGGGGGGAGGGCGCAGGCTTAGGGGTGCGCTTCGATTTGTAGGGGTTGCTGGGTATTGGGTTTTAGGGTTTACGGGTTGGGTAGGTAGAAGGGTGTCAAGCGTGGATGGGTTAGCTGGGCCGGCAGTTCGGGTCACTGTGGTGCAGTGCTACTACAATAGCCTAGGTTTTGGTACTAGCTAAACATTCCCCGCATGCTCCTTACTACTCCCACGCAGTGCTCCTTACCACGACTGCTCTTGGGACTCCCCAGACTACTCCCCCAAAGTCGCCCACCCTCCCCCCTCCGCGCAGATGACGAGAGTGCAACCATTGTGCTCGACGAAGCAACGGTGGAGAAGGTCAGGCTCTGAGGGAGATCTGGGGGATTCTGGCCTTGTTTCAGGAGATGTTCCGGGCTTTGTTTAGGGGTTAGGGTTAAGAGGACCTCGTTGTTGATTGCAGCGCTTCATTGTTGGCTTCGCAGGTTTACAGCTACGGTGAACCCAGGTTTCCAGGAAAGGAGGGTGTCACGAAATCGCACCATGTGTGTGGACCTAGGGTCCCGCAATTAGATCAAGCCCCCCCCCCCCCTTAAACCCTAAACCCTAAACCCTAAACCCTAAACCCTAAACCCTAAACCCTAAACCCTAAACCCTAAACCCTAAACCCTAAATCCGAATGGATCCCTTCGCCCAGGCCGCCTCGCTCCTGGGCATGGAAGCCTCGGAACTGGGCGGAGCTCTTCGCAGGCGCAAGGCGCGAACTCAAGGGTTTAGGGTTTCGGGTTTCGGGTTCAGGGTTTAGGGTTTAGGGTTTCGGGTTTAGGGTTTCGAAGGTTTAGGGTTTTAAGGTTTAGGGTGCTTGGAGGCTTCCATGGGGTAGCATGCATCATGCGAACAGCGTGAGAGCTTCCCAAGTCCGCGCTTCGCCAGAGGCACGGAGTGCTTGAGGTCCTACACCCCAAACCCCAGATCCCAAAACCCAAACCGCCAGGCCCGGACCCCAAACCCGAACCCCCAAACCCTAAATCCTAAAACCTAAGCAAACCCGAATATATTTAAGAAAACGATTATTCTTAATTAAACGCCTCCAAACCCACAAACCCAGAGCTTGTTGGGGTATAGGAGCCTTGCGTGCCAACGTCAGGTGAAAGTCTCGCGGCCAGGGCGCGAGTCGATCCATGAGGCGTTCCGGCAGGGGGGGCGCTTTTTTTCGGGAGGATTAGGGGGTTCTTGGGCTTCCGGAAGAAAACGCCTCGACCCTACGCTACTCTCAAAAGCTTTCGGAGAGTTCCCCCCCCAAATTCGAAAGCCCATTGGAGCCCATCCACAGGATGCTAAGGTTAGCAGTTCTCAACCACGGCCGCAAAGGATGTAGTTGAGGAGTTGCATACTACCCGAACCCGACAAGTTGTAAAACCTAAAGGCGTAGATTTCTTGGCCTAAACGCGCTAGATGCCCCTTCCCCCCCGAGCTGGATTGCAGGTGCCACGGACCACGCTCCAATTCCGCCATGCCTTATACAGCCTCATAAAGGCAAGAGGGTTTGGCGTTAAAATGGCTTCGGGGGGTTCTTCAGGATTGTAGCGGGCTTTTCGTGTCTTTCGGTATCGGCCCAGGTTCCAACTGCCATACTTGCCGGCTTTAGGCTTGAAGGCCTGGTTTAGGGTTTAGGGTTTTGAGGGTGAAGATTCTTGGCCAGCTTGGCGTTCTTTGCAGACTCCGGTGTTTCGTTGGCTCCCAACAATGCAGGGGAGGTTGTGAAGGAGGGGGAGGGGGTGGTACGTCATGGCCCCATGTCCCAAATAGGCTTAGGGTTAGGGTTTAGGGTGTAGGGTTTAGGGTTTAGGGTTTCGGGTTTCGGGTTTCGGGTTTAGGGTTTAGGGTTTAGGGTTTAGGGATACAAGCCCAACAGAAGCCAGGTTTTGCACTTTGGAAAACCCCTCCCCAAGTATCTCACGCACAGGCGCTGTACAAGCGGCTCTTCGAGCGCCTGGTCACCCGCATCAACGGTGCCTCGGGCGCACCCAAGTCCGCAACCCCTCCCTCGAAGTCCAGGGAGTAGCTGGCAGTTGGGATTTATCTACCTGAATGAGCTCTAACAAATGCACCTTACATAGAACCCTACCTTGACCCAGGTCCTGTAGATTTCGGGAGTTTCAACAGGTACCATTATCTAGAATCTAGAAAGCTGAGCAGGAAATCCTTGAGACAAATCCCCAGATCGTTAAAACCACCAAACCAGCTTCATGGCGGAATGCAGCTGAACTTAAACCACACAAGAGGAATCAATCTTCATGGTTTCCCTAAAACCTAAACCCTAAACCCCAAACTCTAAGTTAAGCTATTCTAGAAAATCTGGGCCCTTTATGTCAGGCTCGTTCTCCGAGCTGCGAAAGCCCTCGTCCGGAGAGGCCTCCTTGGACCTTTCAGATACACTTGAAAATGACGCTCTAAGCTCTATAAGCCCTACTTATACCAGAGAGTGTGTTCCGCTATGGAGCCCGCATAAAAAGGAGCTATCATGTAGATGAACCCCTCCCCTCCCCAAGGTGTCTCGTCAGGAATCCACCTAAGCCCTGAACCCCCAAACCCCCAATCCCTTAGCCCCCAAACTCTAAACAGATGAACCCCTAAACCTCAAACCCCACTGCGAAACCCTGCACTGCCTCCAGCCTGAAGCGGCACCGCCTCAAGTCCGATGGTGTCCTGGACCTTGAACCCTAGAATATCAACCCTTCACGATCATACTCGAATAAGGTACTGACATCATGTAGTAATATTCTAATGTGATCGTGTGATAGTATGATACTGGAACAATCCAGTAGAATCTAAACAAACTCTGCGACCCGCAGCGCAGAGGGTGAGGGGCGTGGGGAGCTCTAGGAAGAAGCCGCGCCCTTGCGTCAGGAGGAGACCGAGCGTTGCCAGATCGGCATTCTGGACATCTACGGCTTTGAGCGTCTTCAGCGCTTCTTGGCTTCAAGGGCTCATAGGGTTTTGCTGACCCCACAGATGGGGTACCTTTTTCGTCCGAGTCTAGTTTGGGACCTGAGTGTAGATGGTTTGGGAAGTTAGGTGCAGAAGGGCTTTGGGGTGTTGCTTTGGGTGGGAGTTTAGGGCTTAGGCTTAGGGCTTAGGATCCAGCATCTCCCCACCCCTGACTGCCCCACCTGCTCCCCTAAACCGGAGGGGCATCCTCCTCTCTTCATAGCCCAGGCAACTCCTTCGAGCAGCTGTGCATCAACCTGGCCAACGAACGTCTCCAGCAATATTTTGTGGAGACCCTTGGCCGGTCGATCCGGGTAGTCGCAGAGAGGGGCTCTGGCATACATGATCAGGGACGAAGCAGTTTTAACAGTAGGCCTGAGCCGCTGGGCCCGTCGTCGTCCCACGAAACCCTAAACCCCAAACCCTAATTTCCCGCCATTAAGTTACGTGTGTTGTTCTGCTAGGTTCTGTTATGATTAGAAGCTTATTCCGTTCTAAGTAATGCGATCATAGTATTGTCCTGCACACTATTTATCAAGCCTTTGAAGAACTGGAATGGTAGCTACAATGGGTTGCCCATGGATGCATCAGGCGTGTAGCACACTTGTGCTAAGAAAGTTGTTTTGAACGGCCCCTCTTCTTAACATTAAAGCTTGCTGTGCCGGCGCAACCATGCTTGATGTGACATCGTGAGTATTCCGTCATCGTGTTGGGATGGTTCTGACAACCATCGTTCTTGTATTCCTTGCCGACACAAGTACTCAGGGAAGGTGTGGAGATGTTTTTGTTAGATGGCCACTTAGTTTTAGTTGCTGTCATCGGTGTGTGTGTGTGTATCATGATGGGAGTTCCATTGGAGCGCCCTCACTCAAGGATTGCAGCATAGGATGCCGTGCCTCATGTCGTGCCGGTCGGAAAGAACCCACATCCCTCGAGCTGCGGGCCGGCTCGGCTACCGTCGATGCTGCTTCTGGGCAGCACTTGCGGTTTAGGGACAAGGGATCACTCACTTTGGTTGCATCTGCCTCCCTTTCTTCCCACTAAGCTCTTCTTCAGCTTGTCATTTCAAAAGAAACAAGTCATCCGAGTAGACAATGAAATGGCCTGCACAGTTTTTTCATGCTGAGGTCTAGCTCCAACGGCCAAGCACACGAACCTGCCCGTCACATTTTTCTACTACACAGGATACCATCGTACATACTGTATGGCTCCGTTCTCGAGGGGCCTAAACCCCATAAACCCTAGGCCCTAAACCCTATAGATGATTCGCGATGCATATTACGCTATCACCGTGAAAGTTGCAGACCCTCGTTTTTTTTGTCCTTCCCAGGACGGGCTACTACACCCTGTAACCCCCTAAAACGGCCCTTTATAGGCTTGATTATGGGGATTCTAGGAGCCTAAACCCTAAACCCCAAACCCTAAACCCTAAACCCTAAACCCCAAACCCTAAACCCGAAACCCGAAACCCTAAACCCTAAACCCTAAACCGCCTGAGAGCCCAGCCTGGTCAGGCTGCCCAGATGCTGTTCCCCATGTACGCGGTCGCTGCCGACCGACTGCTGGAGCTCACGGAGATGGAGCCGCACGAGATCCTCAAGGAGTGGCACTTGGGTGTTCAGGGTTTAGGGTTTAGGGTTTGGGGTTTAGGGTTTAGGGTTTGCAGGGGTTTGTCTGGCTGACGTAGATGTACATGTTGTGTTGGGAAGTGCGCCCAAGGGTTTCGAGTCAGGCTCCAGGGTTTATAGACGGCATTCTAAGGGTTTGAGGGTTTAGGGTTTGGAGTTTGGGGTTTAGGGTTTAGGGTTAAGGGGTTTATAGGAGCCACAAAGGTTCATGAGGTTCAAGGGTTTGGGTTTCGAGGGACTAAAGAAGGGACCCTTTTCAGGGACCTTAGTCCTGTGGTACTCTAGGGGCTACTAGCACTATAGTAGCTATATACCATGTATATGCAGGGGTTATATAGGATAAGATTAAGGGTTGTTTTCGGGGTCCTCCTTACATCCCTTAAGGAACGGGGCTTGGGGGTTTGTGGTTTAGGGCCAGCTGCTTGCTGTTTGCTGTGCCTTCGTCTTGATTTTCTGGTATTTTGTCAGAATCTTTCTACGATATACATGCCTTTGAGGGCACGTTGGTGTCTCAGAAGTGCCCCCCCCCATTTTTGAAAGTAACTGGTGGTAGCTTCAGATAATCTTCGTAGTCGAATAAGGATTCTTTATTTCTTTTTGTTGACCGCATCGCCAGCTAGACAGTCAAGTTCAGGAGTTGTAGGGGGCCACAACCTGTTCCTAAAGCACATTGGCCTCATATGATTCTTTATGGCCTTTCGGGGAAGTTATCCCTACCCCAAAGGTCAACCTTTTGTTCCCCGAGAAGACAAGAAAGCGAGTCTTGGCTTGGTGTCGCGGCGCTCCGTGGCGCGAAGCTACGATGCCGTTGTCTTCGACGACAGCATGGGAAATGCGGGATTTGTTTCACATCGGTGGGTTGCTTGGCAGTTTTAGCAAGTGCCTTTCTTCTTGTTTTCATTTCTTTGCGCTGTACGTCCTTCATGCAAACCCACAGGCTTCCCTCCTTTTTGGTAGAAGACTGGACAAGCAAGGTTGCCAAGACACATCCCGATCCTGAAATGAAGCCGATGAGGGTTCTCCAGGATGCCCTAAGGCGCCTCATGAAGAGCACCGGGTCTATTCCTCCGGATTGGGTCACGGAAGTAGTTTGCCCGAGTACCAAAGCAACCCCACTGAAAGACCTCCAGAGCCCTTGTTCCTTTGGTACGACTACTTCTCCGTCCCGCAGCTGGAGAAACATACGACGGTCCACGTCGCAAGCCCCAAGGAGACGGTAGTTTGCAGGCCAAGGCCATCAACAGCATTAGGGTTTAGGGTTTAGCGTTTAGGGTTTAGGGTTTAGGGCCAAGTGCCGCTACTTCTTCGCCCTCTGCCCGACCATCGAGTGCTCGGAAAGAGTGCTGAATGTCGCGACACGGACAACACGAGGTGTCGGGTAGAGATAGCATCGCGCGAGTTCTCTGAGCACGAAACATGGGTGCTCGTGCAGAGGTCGACGGCTCTCCAGGTCGTGGGTGGAGCACTTTCCATTCCACCCGGATGTGTTGGCGAGGGACCAGTGAAGCACTGAATGTCTGACCCTCTTTGCAGGGGCTGCCGCGCTGCCTCTGTGCAGTCAGGTCGTCGGTGGGCTGTAAAACTGAGGGGCTGAAGAACATCCAAGACCTGAAAAAGCATTTGCGAGAGCGTTGTGGACTGCCAACGTTCAGGCAGAGGCTCTTCGCAATGGCAGACAGCTAGAAGACAACGACAGGTTGCCTGAGCCAATGGACTTACAGCTGGTGATGTTGCCGTTCGTAGAAGCATCCTGGACCGGACAGATTGAGCAAGCAGGTTGAGCAACAGCTGCAGCAACGTCAGAATCCAAACTGCTTGGGCGACCATGATGGGAATCGGGTCTCGCCAATAGAAGCCGCTGCTGAACGTGCCAGACTGGCCCCAGTCATGAAGGCCATCGTGGAACGGAAAATGAGGCTGTCCCCCCAGCTACCGCCGCTACCCGAACCTCCAGGCAGGGCACTTCCGAGGTTTCAACATGGAGCCCTTGAGCGGCCTTGCTCTTGATAGTGATCCCTGGAAGACGCCTCTGGGGATGTGGTGGCGAACTTCCTTCTCCAGAACGGTTTCACTGGACTCAAGCGCCGAGATGCTAGTGGCTGGTTGCCCATTCATTACGCAGCCCTGTCAGGGAACGTGCAGCAGATGGAAGGCTTGTTGCTGCGGCGAGCCGACCCCGACCAGCGAACTTCAGGGATGAGCCGAAGCTGGGCTTGCCGCTTTGGAATTCTGCTCTGGACCGGGCGGTTTTCTTCAAGCACGACGACGTGGTAAAGCTGCTGATCGCCGCCCGGGCCAGTACGAAAGGGGGGCTTGGGCCGACTTTGCATGCAGCCTGCTATTGCAACAACGCAGAGGGCGTCCGCCTCCTTTGCGAGACCGGTGTTGACCGACTTCTTCCACCAACTTGGGGATCCACACCTTGAAGCATCGCTTCGGGAGAAGGACGGAGCTGCCGGGCTGCGCATATCACCATGGTGGTCGCACGCCGCTGATGGCGGCTCTACAGGTGGAGCAGTATGAAGCCGCCGCTGCGCTGATCGCTTCAGGCGCCCGGCTGGATTCTGGGGAAGCCCTTGGGAGAGCTTTTCTGTTTTTTCACTTCCTGCTTTTGCAGAGGATCATAGGTACCCTAAACCCGAGACCCTGAACCCCAAACCCTAAACCCTGTAAACCCAATAAACCCTCAACCCTTCGGGGCCACCCGAGGATCTTAAAAACTCCCGGGGCCGCAGCCGACTTTGCGGGAGAGCACTCGCTTCCGGAATTCTTGCAGCAGGGCCTTTAGGGGACCCTGCAGGCTGCGAGAGGGTGGCAGCGCTGGCGCTTCCCGACAACCATCTTTTTGAGGTCCCCATGTGAATTTTCAAAGCTTCTCACTTCGTAGTGCCATCCGGAACCGGCGCACCGCCTGGTTCTGAGAATGTTTTCTCCGGTCCGTTTTCGGCCTCAGACAGCGCAATGCAACCCTATACCATCAGGGTTGCTGACCCCTGAAGGCACAGTCTTCGGCCATTCGATCCCTTTCAGGAGAAGCCAGCGGGTACGATGTGGGGGTTTACAAAAAAAGAGAACCCCAAATATAGACCCCAAATAGTAGGACCCCCTTATTCTAAGGACCAAAATACGGGAACGCCGATTATAGACCCCAAATAGTAGGACTCCCTTTTCATAAGGACCCCAAATATTAGGACTCCCCTATAATCAGGACCCCAATAAGGTGAAGAAGGTACCCCTGATATCGGAAACCGCCATGTGCAGACCTTAGATCCCGTTTGAGGCTCGGCATCGCCAGCCTTCCATCTTAAGCAGGGTTTAGGGTTTAGGGTTAGGGTTTAGGGTTTAGGGTTTAGGGCTTAGGGCTTAGGGTTTAGGGTTTAGGGTTTAGGGTTTAGGGTTTCGGGTTCAGGGTTAGTACCCTGAGTCGGATCTTCATCTGGGGCCGAAGGCGCCCATGAACAATAAGGCCTGTGCACCCGGACCCTCCCCATGTGCAACGAAACCTAGATTTGTGACCAGTCATGAACCTTCCAGTAGCAGATTCTGAGGGTGGTACACAGAGCTCTTGGTGGGTCGAGGTAGATTTTTCGCAGGAATAGGCAGAGTCGAGGACATCCCCGCTGCCTTGAGACCCGTTCCGGGCGCCACAGGGCGCCTTCGGCATCCGTGCAATAATCGTTCAACCCTAAATCCTAAACCCTAAACCCTAAACCCTAAACCCTAAACCCTAAACCCAAAACCCTACTCACAGAGGTTTGGAGATTTACTCACCATGTCTCCTCCGAGCACATGAGCTAGAATAGGAGGAATCCAGGACAAAGCTGCATCTCCACCTAGAGACTCACTCGCGCATGTGGGCAGTTCTCTAAAATGGGTCCCTTTTTGGGTCCCCTTATATAGTACGGCACCCTTCCCAAAAAGGGACCCTACTTTAGATAAATACAACCATGCGCATGTTCATCACCCACCGTCTCAGGAATGTGCTCACCGCAGAGCAGAACTTGCTCCTTGGGCGCCAGAAACCTTTTTGACACCCCAACCCCTAAATCATCAGAACCCCCCCCCTACCCCCCCAAAGCTATGCCCACAAGAAAGATTCGATTTCCGGAGCTTAAGCCAGTACCTCAACCCTGGTCTCAGGGCCTTCGAAATTTCGGGGCTCAGAGAGATCCCCGGAGTTTAGGGGCTGAGGGTCCTAGAGCCCCTAAACCCTAAACCCTAAACCCTAAACCCGAAACCCTAAACCCTAAACCCTAAACCCTAAACCCTAAACCCTAAACCCTAAACCCTAAACCCTAAACCCTAAACCCTAAACCCTAAACCCTAAACCCTAACCCTGAACCGTGAACCGTGAACCCTAAACCCTAAACCCAAAACCCTAAACCCTACCCAGGTACCGCCGTGAGGGGCTTCCCTGGACCGGCCTCAACCTGCCAGACTCCATGCCCGCCCGGGCTTCGGCTCGTGTACGCGTTTGGGAGGGTTTAGGGTTTAGGGTTTAGGGTTTAGGGTTTAGGGTTTAGGGTTTAGGGTTTAGGGTTTAGGGTTTAGGGTTTCATGTCCTGCTGCGCGAAGCACAGGCCTCAAGTACAAGGAGGGACCCTCTATCAACCTTATATATATATATATCCAGTCCCTATATAATATACCTAAGTAGCCCCCAAATAAAACCCAAATAACCCCTAAGGTCCCTTGTAGGCCACCTTCCAACTTCTCGCCTGCTGGGGGGGTTTAGGGCGACCTGAGAGTGCTCCCTTCTTAAATCCGCAAAAGTCTCGCGGCCTCGAGTTGGGTTTCGGGTTTCGGGTTTAGGGTTTAGGGTTTAGGGTTAGGGTTTAAGGTTTAGGGTTTAGGATTTAGGGTTTAGGGTTTAGGGTTTAGGGTTTAGGGGTTGGGATTTGGGGTTTAGGGTTTAGGGGCTTGAGGTTTGAGGGACGCCGGCTCGCAAATGAGGTCGTCACAGCGATAGCCTGTTGCTTCAAGACCTTGGATGAGTACAGCCAGCAGCTTGCCAAAGGCCCATCGCCACGCACAGCCACCACCCCCCCAAACATGGGATGTTCACCCTTATACTAAACTGTCAACATCCCTTACAGCCCCCAAAGCCTCTAAAGGCCCCCAGAGCCCCTATAGAATACAAGCAATATTGGGGATGGTAGAAATCGAAGCTATGACCATGACAAGGTCCCAAAAGCTGGCAACGCCAGCTTAAGGGGTTTAGGGGTTTAGGAGTTTAGGGTTTAGGGTTGAGGGTTTTATGGCTTAGGGCAGCTTCCTGGAGAATTGAAGTTACCATAGTGTGGACATAAGGTGTAAGCCGTGGCGGTTTCTTTATGATGTTTCCGGTTCAGGAGTTAGAGCTCAGGGGTTCTGGGTTTCTGCCCTGACATGCCCTACTCGAAACCTCTAAAACCCTCCGAGCAGGCTTTGAGAAGACCTCGGATGAGGGCTTCTGCCAGAAGACGGTGGAGGAAGCCCAGAAGGCCTTCTCGGGGGAAGGTTTACTCGGTAGGCCCTGGCCCTTGGGACAGTTTAGGTTTTCCCTTCTTGGGCTGAACAGGGCTAGATTTAGCAATGTTTTTTCAGAGGGGTTTAAGGGCCATTCTAGTTTCGAAGTTGGGGGCTTCGGGGTTTGCGGCGAGGTTGCACGACCCTCTCTGAGCCCGATGCCTAAAGCTGCAAACTCGAAAGCCCTAAACCCCATCTGCTGCCAGACTGCACGAGGCCTGGCAACAAAAGGGCTTGCGCAGGGTCTAGGGGTTTTGCTTTGAGGGAAGGAAGTATACGTATGCACACCATGCAACCTCCGTCAGGATTTTGCTGGTACCCGACTTCGCGGGGACGTGCAGCAACACCACAAGAGTCGAAACCAGAAAGCCCTAAAGCCCTAAAGCCCCAAACCCGGCGCAGGACGCCCAGCGCAAGGAGGTCCTGAGGCCCCTGAAGATGCTCGCTCCGCACTGTTTTTAGCACTTACAGGTTCATGGGGAGGGGGGTAGTGGGAAGTAGAGCTAAACAAGTTTAAGTGCACAATCTTGTCTACACAATATATATATATATATATGGAAATATATGTGTGAATACGTATACATCTTCTTCATAGTACTCATGCTTTCAACCGTTGCCAATGTTTGGGCTTTGGGGGCTGAGGCCTGAGGCGTTTCGAGGATTAAGAGGTCTAGAATCTAGTGCTGCATCATCTGGTCTTGACCACTCCAGTTACTGTCACATCGCATGTGCTGCCCCCAAGGGGCCCAATGAGGTGACCAGGTGCAGGCTGCTGCCGCACTTCTTGGTTATACCCAAAACCCTAAACCCCAAACCCCAAACCCTAAACCCCAAACCCCAAAACCCCGCCAAGCCCGATTTCTCGACCACCTCTCCAAGGATGTCCAACAAGCGAGGGAGCTCAGCGGGCTTGGCCATGAACGAGGCCCATACTACAGGGGTCGGAATCATCACCAGTCGTGCGTGGTGTTGCAGGCCATGGCGTCTGTCCCTAGAATGGCGAAGCCTCAACAGAGCTTGGCTCAGCAGAGACCGAGCTTTAGGGTTTCGGGCTGGTTTAGGGTTGCCTAGACCGTACACCCTCACACTCTAAACCTCAAGCCCTTTGAGCTTGCAAGCCCTTCATGAAAGCTATGCTAGAGCTTGCCAGGGCTTCGTCATCAAGCACTACGCTGGGCAGGTGGAGTACAACACCAAAGGATGGTTGGACAAGCACCTCGGCTTCTGACAGACAAGGCAGCAGGTATGTAATTCATCAAGGGTGTGCAAGCGTTATAGCTCTCTATCGGCACATCGTAAACACATGCACACACACACACACTCACACACACACACACACACATGTAGAGTATGTAGGTATGTATATATACACATACAAAGCCCCCTAAACCCGCACAAGCATGCACATGTACAATCCGAAACTTAAGAAAACCATACTAACAAAACGCTCTGACTACCAACCCTAAACCCTAAACCCTAAACCCTAAACCCTAAACCCTAAACCCTAAACCCTAAACCCTAAACCCTAAACCCTAAATATGAATCCCCCAGCAAGGAACAACGACCGTCTCCTTGTAGAGTGCGAAGAGTTGATCTGCCCCTGGGCTTCCAGAGCGATCCTTCCTGCTGTCTTCTCCTGCAAGGATTCGGATCTGCTTCTTTGGGTTTCGGGTTTAGGGTTTCAGGGTTTAGGGTTTAGGGTTTAGGGTTTGGGATGTTTCGGGATGTTTTGGGAAGTACCAGGGCGGGCAGGATAGCCTCAGCGTTTACAAGGGGTTTCAAGGGCTTATGGCAACTCGAAGGCTCCATGAGTTCTATTCATGCACCCCAAAACTGGCCTGAAGTGCACCCTAAACCCTAAACCCTAAACCCTAAACCCTAAACCCTAAACCCTAAACCCTAAGCCCCCTTGAACTCCAGAAGCTCATGGCAGGTGGTGGCAGTGGTAGAGGTTCCCTCGTCTGCCTTCCTTTCGAGCCCTCGACCCTGACGTTTCCACGCCCTGGCAGAGCCTAAGCCCCGAAGCCTGCAACCCTGAGCCCCAAAGTGTCAACCCTCTGAGTTGGAAGCTGATTTTCTTAAGGCGTTCGGGCCGTTTAGGCACGGAAGTCGGAATCAAGCCGCAAAACCCCTAGAAGAAGCCCTCAGGCTTGGGCTGTCCCCCTTGTGCTAACAGTCCTTAATGGGGCTTAGAGTACCCCGTACTATGACCCCGATTAAGGACTGTTAGTATAAGGGGGAACATCCCAACCTCAGGTATATATCCCCTGCACTCTGCACCTTTAGGCCCAAACCCAACTTCCCCAAATCGAGCCTAGGTGGCTCCGACTGTCAGTTTGTCCGGACACTGGGAGACGACGAGAAGGGGAAGGCTTTCTGCCATGGGGTACTTTGGGTCCTAAACCCTAAACCCCTAAACCCCTAAACCCCTAAACCCCTAAACCCCTAAACCCCTAAACCCCTAAACCCCTAAACCCCTAAACCCTAAAGCCCTAAAGCCCTAAAACCCTAAACCCTAGGGTTAGATTTTGTTCCCTCGCCCCCTTGGTGAGACTATGGATGGAGTGGGCAGCACCAGAGAAGATGCTTTCTCGCACATGCTTCCTTGTGCCCAAGGGATGTCTATGACCATGTTTGCACGCGTTGCTCTCCCCTTGTGTTGTGTTGGCCTTGCGCCGCTCTTAGAAGTAGGGAATGCTGCGCTTGTGCGAGGGCAATCTGTGGTTCAAGGTGGTGGGAGCCTTTACAGTGAGGCTCTAACATAGCCCTGAAGCTACAGAATCGCGGGTGAACTTGAGGTGCTAGAATAGCTCTCCAAAACCCTGCACGCATTCTGCAAGTACAGAGCCCCTGAAAAAGCACAGGCCCTAACCCCATTTCCAGGTTCTCAAATTTCCCTGAAGCTAGGAAGCCGGGAAGGAACATGCCCCCAAATTCCCTGTCTCCCTGCTCTCTTCTATTCTCGGTTTTTCGCTCCCTGACAGCCGAAACTCTAATTCCGAAGACCCCAAGTGCTGACGAAATTCCACTTATGAAGGAAAGAGGAAGGAGGATAACTCATCCAAACCTACATCCTTAAGGGCATGTGGCCAATGCAGCCACTTTAGTCCGGGGCTATATGATATGATTAGGATTTATGGTTTCTGCCGAAATATTTCAACCTCAAGCTTTTTTCCATAGCCAGGTCCTTTTCCGGTCCATCAGCAAGAAATACTCCTCGGACTTGGAGAACCTTCTGAAGACGCTGAACCAGTGCCACTTGCACTACATCCGCCCCGCGGCCATGAGTTTAGCTTGAAGCACCTCTCCGGTGCCAGCATGCCCGCAGAGGTTTTCTTGCTAACTTTCGTTATAGCCATGCGACTATGCAGCAACCTGTGCGAGCCCTCATTGAATGCGCAGTTGAGTTGGGTTCAAGACGTCAGTAAGACGCGCCATGAATGCCACCCAAGAGGCAAAAAGCTATGACCTGACGGACCCCCAGGGTCTGGTCAGCTTCCTCCTGGATGCGGACATTCGCCTCGTTCGCCTGGAGTACTTCATCGAGCTCCGCAAGTCCGGGAGGGTGCTGCCTCGACGCCAGGAGGCCGAGGCAGAGAGGACGGCGTCGGGTGCGCCGGCCTTGGTTGGCGCCGAGGAGCTGAAGGAAGTGATGATTGACGGCGTGACGGGGCACTTGTCGACCATGATCAGGGACCCAACACCGACGCGGGTCACCGTCCGCATCGTCTCCGTGAGCCATGTCTGGGAGAGCATGCAGCATCCGGACCCTTGGAGGCTGGGGCTCGGGTGTGGCGTCTCATAGGCTCACAGAGGGTCTCTCCGCCCTAAGACCTGCACCCCTTCATGTAGTTAAGCATATACATGGTGTTCACTGAATTAGTAAGCCAGGAAGCTGCATCGGCCGCATCCCCCAACTCCTTTTTGGAGTCAGGTTTCAACTTGAAGACATCGTGGACGAGTACAGTCCGCGACTGCTCGAGTCCTTGGTCTGGATCTTCCTGGACTTCGTCTCCCTGCACCAGTACAGCAGGGACGCCGACCAGGAGAAGCTCTTCAGGCAGGCCCTCAAGGACATGCACATCATCTACGCCCACGAGGCTGTGGAGGTGCATCGCATCGAGGCGCTGACCCCGAAGAGCGTGCGAGATGGATGTGCATGTCAAGGTCCTTTTCGGGGCCTTCTGGGATGCCTTCTGGAACCTTGTTGGGGCGTTTTGGGGCGGAGGCTTCCTTGGATCTTCCGAGGCTCGCGGATCCCGGTGTACTGGGATGCAGAGCAGACGGTCATGGAAGTCCCCATCTCGGAACTGAAGCTGAACGCCACGCCTTACGATGAAAGGGGGTGGTGCCAGGCCGAGAAGCAGTGGGCAGCCCTCAGGGCCTCGCTGAAGGGTGCTTCCGTGCCGCTTCCTCCCGACATGTTCCGGGCAAAGATGCAGCGACTGAAATTCACACACCAGGACGACTCGGAGAGCGTCTTTCAGCTTCAGAAAAAGATCTTCAACGAGAAGGCGGCCTCCACGACGACGCTCCTGGTAGAACACCTGGACGCTGAGGGCCTTGCGGTTCTGGTTGCAGCCTTGCCTTCCTACCGCCAGTTGAAAGAGGTGGTCGCGAACGCCACCCCTGAACATGCCTGGAGGCTCGCGGTGGCTGTGGTGGAGTCTGGCGCGAAGGACGTCCAGATTGAGTGTGAGAGCCTCCGAGACGAGGATGCCGTTGATTTGGCGGCAGCCTTGTCGAGGGAGGACTGCACACACTTGGAGCGGCTGCACCTCAAGTGCACTACCATTGGAGAGTTGGGTGGCGACGCTCTCCGGCAGATGTCGGCGCATCGCAAAGCCATCTCGAACGCCTCTTGCGACCTCGTGCTCAGCGTGGTGGACCTAAGTCAGAACAGCGCCGGACAAGAACCTGGACAGCAAGCCGCATGTCCGCACCCTGATTTCCCTGGGCAGCCGTGCACGAAGATGCGCATCCTTGTCTCCAAGCGTAAACGTCTTGAGAAGCCAATGCCACTGCCTGTGGCCAGTGATGTGGACTTGCGCAACTTCAGAAGCGGCTCAAGTTTAGACAAGCGGCCAGTGAGCATCCATGGTCTCGGAGGTTACGTGGTTGAGGTCGATGTCGACCCTACAGCGCCAGGCTGGGAGGTGATAAGAGACGTAGCAGCAAAAGTTGGCCGCCCCGCAGAGTCACTCATGCTGACCTCCGGCGGCAGAGTGCTCGATGTGCACCAGCCCCTGCTGCAACAAGTAGGGCATGATGACGTCACGTACGTGGTTCGGCACTTTGGCGCGGGCCTTGCCGCATTGAGTTTTGAGAAAGCACTTGCGCAGAAGGCTTTGGATCCTGCGGATGCCAGTGCCCTCGACGAGGTGGTCTTCTTGACCTTTGGCAGCAGGTTTAACCAGAGCTTGCAGAAGGTGAAGCTTCCCGGCGATCTGCAGACGTTAACTTTTGGCGAAGAATTTAACAAGAGCTTGGAGGGGGTCCAGCTCCCCAGCAACCTGCAGAACTTGACCTTTGGCAAGATGTTCAACCAGAGCTTGGATCAGGTCCAGCTCCCCAGTAGCCTACAGACGCTAGCTTTTGGCGAAGAATTTAACAAGAGCTTGGAGAATGTCCAGCTACCCAACATCCTGCAGACCCTGACCTTTGGCAAGATGTTCAACCAGAGCTTGCAGAATGTTCAGCTCCCCAGCGGCCTGCTGACGTTGGCCTTTGGCAGCAGGTTCAACCAGAGCTTGCAGAAGGTCCAGCTGCCCAGCCGCCTGCAGACGTTGACCTTTGGTGGCGACTTGAGTGACTTCAATCAGAGCTTGGCGGGCGTTCAACTCCCGATTGGCCTGCAGACGTTGACCTTAGGCTATTGGTTCAATGAGAGCTTGGAAGCGGTCCAGCTCCCGTGTGGCCTACGGACGTTGGCCTTTGGCGAGATTTTCGATCGGAGCTTGGAGGGGGTCCAGTTAATCAGTGGTCTGCAGAATGTGACTTTTGGCAAGATGTTCGACCAAAGCTTGGAGGGGGTGCAACTCCCCAGTGGCTTGCAGACGTTGACCTTTGGCTACGCGTTTAACCAGACCCTGGCTCGTGTCCAGCTCCCCAGCGGCCTGCAGACGTTGACTTTTGGCAGCAGGTTCAACCAAAGCTTGGAGAAGGTCCAGCTCCCTAGCAGCTTGCAGACTTTAATTTTTGGCGAGGAATTCAACCAGACTCTGGCGCGTGTCCAGCTCCCCGGCGAGCTGAAGACATTGACCTTTGGCAAGATGTTCAGCCAGAGCTTGGAGGGGGTGCAGCTCCCTGACGGCTTGCAGACGTTGACCTTTGGTGGCGACTTTACTGAATTCAACCGAACCTTGCAGGGGGTCCGGCTCCCCGGCGGCCTCCGGACGTTCACCTTTGGCAACAGATTTAGCCAGAGTTTGTTGCAGCGGGTCGAGCGCCGTGCCAGTCTAGCAGAAGCGGCAGAAGCAGAGGATCCAAGTCTGCCATCGTGGAATGGTGGCATGATGACCCTTCATGCGCCGGTCAATTCTCTCTTGGAAGAATCGTCATCACTACCTTCGCAACTGTCTACAGATGAGGATGCAGCACTAGCACTGTCACCACTGTCACCAAGCCCGCACGCTGTGGGCGATCCCAACAACTGTTGGGGCGCCCGGGTGCCTAACACTTTTCTTGAGGCAGAGGCAGAGATCCACTTCCCCAGCGGCCCAGAGACATTGACCTCTGGCAACAGGTTTAACCATAGCTTGGAGAGGGTCCAGCGCAATCTCTTTCTATCAGAAACAGTGGACCCAAGTCCGGCCTCGGGGAACGGCGGCATGATGACAAGGTCACGATCCCTTCCGCTGTATGCAGATGAGGATTCAGCACTGTCACCAATCCAGCACGCTTTTGGCCGGGTGCTTAACCCTTTTCGGGAGGTAGAGGTAGACGTCCACCTTGATGTCGACCTCCCCAGTGGCCTGCAGACCTTGACCTTTGGCGAGATGTTCAACCAGAGCTTGGATCAGGTCCAGCTCCCCAGCAGCCTACAGACGTTAACTTTTGGCGAAGACTTCAACCAAAGCTTGGAGAATGTCCAGCTCCCCATCGGCCTGCAGACATTGACCTTTGGCAAGATGTTCAACCAGAGCTTGGATCAGGTCCAGCTCCCCAGTAGCCTACAGACGCTAGCTTTTGGCGAAGAATTTAACAAGAGCTTGGAGAATGTCCAGCTACCCAACATCCTGCAGACCCTGACCTTTGGCAAGATGTTCAACCAGAGCTTGCAGAATGTTCAGCTCCCCAGCGGCCTGCTGACGTTGGCCTTTGGCAGCAGGTTCAACCAGAGCTTGCAGAAGGTCCAGCTGCCCAGCCGCCTGCAGACGTTGACCTTGGGCTTCTATTTCAACCAAAGCTTGGAGGGGCTCCAGTTCCCCAGCAACCTGCAGACATTGACCTTGGGCTTTAACCAACGCTTAGAGGGGGTCCAGTTCCCCAGCAACCTGCAGACCTTGACCTTTGGCGAGATGTTCAACCAGAGCTTGGATCAGGTCCAGCTCCCCAGCAGCCTACAGACGTTAACTTTTGGCGAAGACTTCAACCAAAGCTTGGAGAATGTCCAGCTACCCAACAGCTTGCAAAGTGTCAGGTTACCATCGTTGGGTGTCCAGACTTCCTGACCACGGATGTACAAGGCAAAAGGCGCATGCGTAGCAACTTTCGCATCTGCTTGGCCAGAACTGGCCTTCAGCCGACCCAGGCTTCCATTTTTCGGGGATTTACGGTTTAGGGTTTCAGAGGTTGGGGTGTAGGGTGTTACTGTAGGGCTTAGGGTTTAAGGGTATAAGGGTTTAAGGTTTAGGGCTTAAACATACATCTCTTGCCAAGGCTGCTTCAAGCCAAACGAGCTCCAACAGCGGGGCATCTTCAACGATGCCCTGGTCCTGGACCAGATCGTGCAGCCTGGGCCTCAGTAGGCTCGATGTTAAATTAGATCCTAGGACCTAGGATCCCTACAAGCTTAACAAAGCCCCCGCAAACGCCAAAAGCCATAAAGCCCGTAAACAGTTCGGTGCTACATGGAGAACCGGTATACGGTATACCTTGTTGGCCGTTATGACCTCCATTTTGGAACCTATATTGTAAACGCTAAGCTGTTCACATAGACCCTTAGAAACACCCGGAGACTCCCAACACCACGGCAGTGTTGCGACAACAAAGCAGAACTCATGGCCATTACATCCCAGCATTACATAAGAACGCCTGCCAAATGGACAGCGACGGGCTCGTAGAACGGTTCAGTTGTTGCCTCATCGTGGCATCTTGACAAGGTTTGCAGTGGGAGGCTTTGGGTTCCAAGCGTCTTATGGCGTAGGCTTAGGGTTTAGTCCGGTTTAGGGTTTGTGGTGCAGGGCTTTGGGGCTTCACGATTTAGGGTGTGGCCTGAAGTTGTTTGGCTCTTTCGTCATGGGGGTGGGAGGGTGTCACCCATCTTTCAGCTAACGTGTGCACTTCATCTGTATACAAGCTTCAAGGCCCCAAGCCCGAAGCCCCCTCCGAAACAAGACCCCCACACCCCAACAGCCCATGTGAAGAACCCGAAGCCCCGAAGCCCCGCTCAACCCCTGAGGCAACTTCAGGTGTGAAGTTAGTCTGAATTGGCACCCGCCCTCTCTGTGTCCCTGCGTGTGTCTACTAGAGCCTTTGCCTTCCGGTTTAGGAGTTAGGGCTTGCGGCCGGCAGTTTTCTTTCAGAGCGACCCAGGTGTGGAACCATTGAGCTGGTCAAGATCATGCACGACGGGCGGCTCTGGCGTGCTTTTGGGGGGCAGTAGTGTGGAGGTGCTTCGGAGGATCAGGTACCTCGACGTGCTGTGAAGCCGAAGCATGCCGAAACCCTAAACCCTTAACCCTTAACCCTGAACCCCAATCGCCCTTCCCCCACTTAAGGTACCCAAATCGCTGCGTCTTCGACGAGCTGGTTGCTCGCTTCCGCCACTTTTTGGCAACTCCATCCTGGGTTTAGGGTTTAGGGTGTTTAGGGTTTAGGGTTTAGGGTTTAGGGCTGAGGGTTAGGGACCTCCCTTGGGAGGAATAAGTACGTAGGTTGCGGGCTTTGGGTTTTGGACTGAGGGAGGATCTAAGAAAACACTGGTCTGGGGTTCCAGCTTCGATTCTGGACGTCGTGTGTGCTTTGGGTTCAGAGGTACGAGAATAATTCAGCTTCTTCGTGATTGAGACCGAAGACGGTGTAGGATTTAGAGGTTCAGCACGTCTTGGACCCCAAACTCGCATGACCAAGCTCTAACTCCCAAACCCTATCAACCTTGAATCCAACAACCCTGTGAGGACTATAAGCCCTGGGTCCCCAACACCCGAAAACCCTACAAGCGCGAATCCCTATAATCTCTGAAACCCCTAAACCCTACAGTTCAGGAAGCCTGCTCCCTGATAGCTTTCAGCGCTACGGAAACCGCACCTTCATCGAAGCGCTCATGCTCGCCTACGACGTGCCGAAGGAGGCTGGGTGCAGGTGGCTTCCCAGCGCCTATTATTTAAAATTGAAGCTCCTGACCAGAAGATGCGCAGTAATCCCTTCCCGCTAATACTAAAACCCTCCCCCCCCCCCTCCCTAATTCTGAAATTCGCCTGGGCCCGAAAAATATTTAAAATTAGGGGGGGTCTAAATCCTAAAACCTGAATTCCGAACCATAATAATTCAACCCTCCAAGCCCTGAGCCCTGGATCCTAATCCTGTCAGGCTTGAGCCCTAAACCTTGAAACCCTAATGGCTCAACTCAAGGGCGAAGGCCCTGAACCCCTCCCCCCTAATTCTCAAACAGGTTTAGTATTGGGCTGAGTACCGGCAGGGTCCGGGAAAAATAATTTTTAAAATTAGGGGGGGTTTTAGTATGAGGGGGAAGGGATTAATCCATGAAGATTGTTTTTGTCTTCCTCAGTGGTGATAGCCTGCAGCGAATATAGGCAATTAGCAAATGAAGTCGACCCCAGCCCATAATAGAAGAATTCCCAAATGAAATCAACCTCAGCCCAATCGTTATTAGGTGTCAAGGCGCCATCGACGTCAGGGTTAGGGTTTAGAGTTTAGGGTTTAATTAGGGCTTTAGGTTTATCCTTCAAGCCTATAGACCCTATAAGCCCTAGTTCTGGCCAGCACACGGCCCCAAAAAACGCCAACCGCCCAAGCTCCCCGAACCATTTTAACCTCCCGAAGCCCTGATCCTCTGAACTGCCCAAAGCCCCCAACCTGCTAAAGCACCCAAAAGCCCTAAACTCTAAACCTCTGAACTGCCCAAAAGCCCCGAAAGCCCTAAGCTCTAAACCCGGAACTGCCCAAAGGCCCCAACATGCCCCAACCTCCCAACCCGAAACCCTAAACCCGAAGCCCTAAACCCTAACCCTAAACCCTAAACCCTGAACCCTAAACCCTAAACCCTAAACCCTCTAACGCTCCAAGCCCATCCCGGAGCAGGACTGGGCCTTGGGTATGTCGCGCCTCTTCCTGAAAGCTGGGCAGCTCAAGGCATTGGAGGACCTGCGCTCCAAAGGCGGGTGGAGTTCTCATTCCAGGGCAGTTGGGGGGGGGAGGGGTGTAGTTGGGGGTGCATATTTCGGGTCCGAGTGAAGACGCATGGAACTAGACGCGAAATTCAGGCACAGAATTCAGGAAACGCGCGGGGCAATTCAGGAACCAGGAGAGGCCAGAATCCAGAACGAACACGGACCAATTCAGGAACAAGGAGGTCGGGATTCAGGTCCTCTGGGTTTAGGTCTTTTCAGGGTTCAGGCTTAGGGGATCTTACAGTTTAGGGTTTTCCCGGGTTTAGGGGCTTGTAGGGTTTGGAACTGTTAAGGGTTAAGGATTTTGGGTTTAGGGTTAAGGGCTTTTTGGGGGTTTGGGGGTTTAGGGCTTTAGGGCTTGGCGTTTTGGGGTTTAGCGCGAAACGCTACGCGCTAAACCCGACACCCTAAACCCCCTTTTGGGGTGGTTTGTGGTGGCCTTGAGGGGGTTGAGGAGTTTAGGGGTTTTCGGGCTTAGGGGTTTGGGGTGTTCAGGCCCTTAAAACAAAAGAAGCGCAGCACAATGCAGGCTACTCAGGGCTTAGGCTTTCACCGCTTTAAGTGGGCAAGAACGTCACGAAAGCCAGCTTTTTGGGAGCTTCGTGTGTACCATCCCCCTGCTTGGGTCACCTTTCTAAGGCTCAAGTTTTCGGACCCAGCCGCATTGCGGAGCAGGTTTTGCGTGAAGGCTCAGTGGTACAGAGAAGCAGCACAGCCAACCTATTTCTATAGTCCTGCTAGTAACTACACAGGAACCAGTTGGTGGTGGAAGGGTCGCAAGTCGAAGTACATCCCTTAACTGCTACGCAGTGCGAGGCGCGAAGCCTGACACAGAGAAGCTGCAGCAGATCGTCCGTGGCATCGTTCGCAAGAGGTGGGTTCTCCGAAGATTCATAGTCACGAGCGTCTGAGTTAGTTAGGGCCGAGGGAGCTTTTGTGTATTATGGCTGGCGTGGTCATGGGTCCAGGGGGCGTAAGGTTTGACCTTCAAAGTCACGTAGGAAGGTTGAGGGCAGTTTGCTTGCTTCCGCATCTAAGTGCATGTCTGTTAATGCGGCGAAACCTAGACCACAGACCTCAAACTCAACCCTAAACCCAAAAACTCTATCCGAGAACTCGGTATACCTGCATCTGAGACCTTGGAGTTCCAATAGATGTTGAGTCCCTAAACCCTAAACTCTAAACTTTAAACCCTAAACCCTAAATCCTAAACTCTGTAACCCTAAACCCTAAACCCTAAACCCTGAACCCTAAACCCTAAACCCTCAGTCCGAAGCCCTCAGACAGGTGGGTTCGAGCCGGGCATGCCGTCCAGCTCTGCAACTACTTCCCGAGGCGCGGCGGTTCTTCGCTTCTCCAGTGTTTTTGGGTATTTTGGGTTTAGGGTTTGGAGTTTTGGGTGTTTAGGGTTTAGGGTTTGGGGTATCGGGTATTTTGGGTTTAGGGTTTTTTGGGTTTAGGGTTTTGGGTTTTGGGTATGGGTTTCGAGTTTAGGGTTTAGAGATTGATTGATTGATTGGTTTGAAAATATAGGCTAGGCCGCAAAAGAGGTCTCCCTAGGTTGCACCCTCAGTGCCCTGTTTTGAAGCGGGGGTGGGCGGGCTGGGAGTCTTCATTCCTGCAGCGACGTGTGGGGTTCAGGGTTTCGGAGCAGAACACCTGTTCTTCTAACCCTAGGGAACCACCGTGGCGCCCCTTATTCCTTTCGCTCTTGTAAGAGGTTAGGTTCCCGAGGCTACCCCTTCTTACTCCCAGGTTTGCAGGAAAACCTACGAACCCTACCCCTTTGCAGTAGCCATGGGGATTCCTGATGGAGGAGGCTTGGAAGTGAGCCTCAGAGACCCTGCAGCCACTGGCAGGTTCCTGTCCGAAATCCGCGCAGCGCAAGCCGTGCCTTTGCCAAGAGATGTAGCTCCCAGCAGGCCCACTTATAGTACTGTTATGGAATGCGGTACCCCAAGACCTTCTCTTGCATGGTTTTTTTGGGTACCTAGTTCCACAATAGCACTATAAGTGGACCCTCTATGGCTTCCTACTACAGCCTAACGCACGAAGCCCGAAACTCTCTGGGATCCAAAGACTGACTTCATGTTTGGCTC